CAGCAGAGAAAGGACAGAGATAAAGACGAGGGTGACTAGAGGACGGCCTCGCTGTCGCGCCGGGCGCTGATGGCGATGACGAGGCCGAAGATGACGGCGACGATGGCGGCAGAGACGAGGGCGATGAAGTTGAGCTCGCGGCCGCCGGCGTAGACCTTGCCCCGGGCGAGGGCGTGCTGCTGGCGCCAGAAGCGGTAGGCCCCCGCGACGGCGACGAGGATGGCGAGGACGTGGCAGACGCAGGCGAGCGGCTTGCCGACGCGGTGGAAGCCGAACTGGGCGTTGTGCACGACGGCGTGGTTGAGCGAGAAGAGCTGCGCGATGAGCACCCCGACCATGGCAAACGTCAGCGACGTCCGCATGTACGCCAGGAACGTTCTCTCGAGGGCTATCAAAGCATTAGCATCCATCTATCAACCAATTGAAGGCTATGTATAAAGAAAGATCGTACCGAAGTGGTCGCGGTTCTGCTTCCGGGGGACGCGGACAGACACATGAGCCCACCAGAAGCGCTGCAGGCCGGCAAAGGGGCCGCTGGGCTGCAGGCTCGCCGTCGTCAGGACGCTCTCGGTGGTGAGACGGCGCGAGGCGACGATGCCCAGCTCGCCCGAGGCCACAGACAGCGGCGAGCTCGACCGGGATGGGAAGCCTGGGGATGCCAGAGACGCTGGCGAGCATGGAGAGCCTGGAGACGCCAGGGATGCCGGCGTCAGCGTGTCCATCTCGAGTGTCTCTACCCGTGTTTCTTGAGTATCCTGGGTCCTCTGAGTATCCTGGGTCCCCGGGGGTGACAGGTTGAGCTCCGGGAAGGGCTCCTTGCCCTCGCTCCGGCGCTGCTCATGGCTCAATCTGTCCTTCCTGCGGCGCTCGTACTGGCCGTCGCTCTCCTCGCTCTCGTAGTAGCCGCGTTCGCCGTCTCGCTCCATGAGGGCGCATCTCAGGTTGACGGTGAAGTCGTAGAAGTCGTAGAAGTTGGTAGGAGTCGCCCTTTTGAGTCCTCCTTTTCTGTGATTTTCGTGTTTTCTTGCTCCGTCTCCTGTTGATCAGCCGGCTTGCTTGGGCACGAAGGCGACGCACATCGATGGGTCTATTCGCTGTCGATAATGACGGTCGATGTTGCTGTCGAAGTCGGCGTAGATGTTTGTAGATGCTTGTAGCCGCCGGGACAAGCGACGCCGGCTTTTGGCCAACATCGAGACTCGCCTCCAACTTCTACGCCGACTTTCCACCAACAACTCAGGTTTGGTACCGCGAATTCGACTGCAAGCTCGCCTTTGCGCTGCTTCTACTACCGACAGCGACCTGCCAGCGACTTGCGATCCCGACCTTTGAGCCCCCTTGGCGAGCTTGGCCGCGCGGTGGCTGCAGCAGAGCGTGGACGGCGGGCTTGGTGGCGCCGGCTCTGTTCAACAGCGCATCCTCTAGTCCTCCCGGCGGTTACACCGACTGACACGAAGGGCGCACAGGAGACGGAGCAGAAGATGGCGCTGCGGGAGTCAGACAGGGACACCTGGTCTGCAGAGGTGCGACTCCCATATCAATGTATATACCGGTGGTTCTGTATTGGTTCGTGGCTGACGGTGACGCAGGCATATTCGGCGGCGGCGAGCTTCGTGCCACAGCTGACGGAGAAGGTCCTCCAGCTGCTGCAGCCTCGAGCGGAGGATAAAGTGCTCGATGTCGGCTGCGGCGACGGCCAGTTCACGGCCAAGTTCGTCTCTGCCGTCGGGGCCGTCCTGGGAGTCGACTCGTCCCCGGCCATGGTCGACGCTGCTCGCACGCTGTTAGGACCATCGACGGCGGCAGCGACAGCGAGGGCGGCCTTTCGAGTCGTGGACTGCAGGCATCTCGGCCAGACTGACATCGTCGACGGCTCCTGGGACAAGGTGTACGTCTGTCAATTACATACTCTATCTACTACGGAGTACTATGTACTACAGAGTGTTGTGCTGACGGTATCTTAAGAGTGTCGAATGCTGCGTTGCACTGGATCCTGAGAGACGCCAGCACCAGAATCGCCGTTTTGCAGGCCATCTTCGACTGTCTCAAGCCCGGTGGCGCTTTTGTCTTCGAAATGGGCGGCCACGGAAACGTCGCTGAGGTCCACGCTGCTCTGCTGGCCGCGCTCGTGCGCCATGGGCTGCCGCTGCAGCAGGCTAGAGACGCCAGCCCCTGGTTCTTCCCCTCGGACGCCTGGATGAGAGAAACGCTCGAAGGCATCGGCTTTGTTGTTGATACCCTCGAGGTCGAGCATCGGCCGACCAAACTCACCCTTGATCCCGACACTAGCAGTGGTACCAGTGGTAACACCGGAATTGAAGGATGGGTCAGGCTCATGGGGGCATCCATGATAGAGACCCTACCTCCCGATGTCCGCGATGAGGCCGTCCGCTCGACCTGCGACCTGCTGCACCCCGTCATCTCGCGCGAGGACGGTTCCAGCTGGCTGGGCTACGTCCGCCTCAGGGGGGTTGCACGGCGGCCGACCCCTACCACATAACTAATACACGCACATATACATATATATACATATAGCTACTACTTCTACAGAGTATACACTGTATGTCCTCGCATTCTTAGTCCGCCCCCCGTGGGCCTCGAGGGTGCTGGGCAGGTCTGAAAGACGGAGGTTAGTTTTGCTCTTCAATCTTGCGCTGTCCCCCCTGAGTTTATACACGTATATACATATATATACATCAAGGTTGACGTCTCTGTCATCCATGGAGCAAAGGATGCAGGATGTCAGCTCTGTTCGTAGCGCTCAAGCATAGAGATATCAAGTCTGCCGTATGTATCTGTGTGTCTGTCGTGAGTTGGGTATATAGAGTACATCCAAAGTACACCAAATCTATCCTACATCTATCCAATCTATAATACAAATATATTCATTACTCTGCCATCGAGAGCTTCTTCACCTCCCAGCCCTCGAGATCAGCAGCCCATTCGTCCTTCTTCTGGCCCAGCAGGCAGAAGGACCGCCGGCTGCCGTCGACCAGGTACTTCTGCGCTGCCTCGCTCACCTCCCGCGCACTCACATCCAGCACCTGCTCGCGCCAGGCCTGGTCCATCTCGTGCGTCACTCCGCTCATAAAGTACCGGTGGCCCTCTTCCTCCACGCTCACGGGCGCATCCAGCCCCTGGAAGATGCTCAGCTTCGCCTCGTCCAGCTCCCGCTGCGTCCAGCTCCGGTCCCGCGCATACTCGCCGCTCTGGTTGAACACCCGCAGCGTGTTCAACGGGTTCGGGTCCCGGTAGCTCGAGAAGCTGAAGATGCCCCTGACCGGACCGCTGCTCGCGCCCGCCCCGTACGCTCCCCCTTTCTCCCGTATCTCGGGGTGCAGGTAGTTGTGTGTCAGCAGCTGCGCCAGCACGCTCAGGGGCGCACTCGACGGGCTCACGTAGGGCGCCGTCTCCATCGCCAGGCCAGAGTACGACACCTGGAAGGGCAGGTCATACAGCACCTTGTCTGATGATGGCTTGAGGAAGGCTGCTGAACCTGTAGCTGTTGCGGTTGTTGTTGATATTTGACTAGCACTCGGCTTCAACCCAGCCAGCCACCGCTGCAGTACGGCTTCGTTCTCTGCGCGCATCTCAGACTCGCAGACAACCCGGACTCGCAAGCTCGATGATCGTCCCAGAGCAAACGACTGGATCGTCTGCAAATGGCCAATCAGCTCCTGCAGGCTTGCTGGCGACTTCTGGGCGTCCTGAAGCAATTGGGCCATCTTCTGGATCTGAGAGAGGCCGGACGTCTGCTCCTCTGCCCAGAACTTCCGTGACAGCGTGGACGACGCCATGTTCACTGCATACCGGTGGCCCGTTGCAGCCACTGCGTCCAACGCACCGTTGCAGCTCGACTTGAGCAGCTCCTCGATCATCCTGGGCGCATCCGGCCCCGTAAAGGCGCTCTCGTTCACCAGCGCCGTCAGGATCGAAAGCATCTCGGGGATGTTCTTGTCCAGCGCAAAGCCCGAGAACTGCATCCCTTCAGAGAACTTGTCCAGCGCCAGCGGAGAAGACGCTGAAAACGTGGACGAGCTGATTCCGCCCGTCTTCAGCTTGATCAGGTCTTCCCACTGCTCCATCCGCCGGCTGCCTGTGCCCAGACGCATGATGCAGTCGTTGAACAGCGGGAGCAGCAGCCTGAGATGGTCCGGAAGCTCGTTCAGGGGTTTCAGCACCTGGATGTACGACAGCCCGTTGGTCGGCGCCTCTCGCCAGACCACATCCATGCCGTCAATCTTCGACTCGCTTAACGTCTTCTTCTCCTTTTGCCGTGGGATGTCGCTGACCGTAAGCGTAGGTAGGCAGGATAGATCAGCTTGCTGTGCGGACTCCTGGACGTTGAGCAACTCCAGCTCCTCCTTCTTGAGCTGGTCTTTGGCGAGCTCCATCGAGCCGTACCTTTGGCTGAGCTCCTTCATCATCGTCTCCTTGCGAGCAGCCTCATGCTCTACCAGCGAGCTGTTGTACGTAGGGTCCCCGTTCATCGTAAACGCCATGTACTTGTCGTTCATGAAATACTTTTGCATCAGCCCTTCCAAGTAGCCTCCCTTTCCGTAACGCTTCTTGAACTCGTTGATCACTTCGTTCCAGGCCAGGTCCTTCATGGGATCTGACCCGTTAAACCACGATGAGATGACCTTTTCCATTATCCCCATGCCAAAGCTGGCTGTCTTGTGTCGGAGTGCGAGTTCCAGCTGGTGCAGCATTCCCTGGACCTTCTCGTCGTTGAAGCCTTTGGCAAGCTGCTCTTCAAACACCTTTTGTATGCTCTTCTGGACGTCTGGGATGCTTGCTTCTGAGATTCCATTCACTCCAACAGAGAAAATGGGCACTTTCCCAGATGTGTCCAGGCCGGTGTTGGGAGTGAAGGATGAGCCGATTCCACTCTCGATGAGAGCCCGGTACAGCGGAGAGCCGTAGCCATCAAGTAGTAGCGATGATAGGATTCCCATTGAAAACAACTCGACATTATCTTTGGAATCCCCCGCGTGCCAGGAGACTGACGTCTTTGTCTGCTTGTCTTCGCTGGCAAAGGTATCAATCGGCCCAGTTACCGTGATATTCGTTGGCCCCGAGCTCAGGTCGATAGGCAACTTGACGTCTAGCGGCCTGGACTTCTTCTCGAAGCCGTTGAGGACTTCGCCAACCTGGGCCAGGTGGTCGGCCAAGGGCATGTCTCCGTAGGTGAATATTCGTGCATTGCTCGGGTGGTAGTTTGACTTGGAGTAATCGACCAGCTGTTGATGCGTGAGCTTAGGGATATGCTGGGGGTCACCACCCGAGTTGTTTAGTGCAGGGATTATCTGCTCCCTGAACCTGATATAGTAGAGATAGTTGGCATCCGACATCTGGCCCTTCATCTCGTTGTAGACGACTCCCTTGAAGACGATTTCGTCGCCCTTTGCTTGCTCACCAGAGGATCCTTCCTGGCTCTGTTCGGCAGACCGGGCGTTTTCTGGACCCAATCGCCAACCTTCCTGTCGAAAGTCCTCCTCCTTGAGCAGCGGATGCAGCGTTGCATCAAGATAGACTGACAGCAGGTTCTGGAAGTCCTTTTTGTTGGTTGTAGCAAAGGGGTATGTGGTGTGGTCTGAGGAGGTGAAGGCGTTCATGAAATTAGACAGTGAACGGGGCAACATCTTGAAAAAGGGATCTCGAACGGGATATCTAAAAGGAATTGTTAGCTATCTGGCTCTTTTTTGTCACCGTCCTTCGTTATGGGTATGTAGATTGTGGTAGCAAGTATATACTATACTGACTTTTCACTGCCGCAGAGAGTGGTGTGCTCGAGAATATGCGGCACTCCAGTGGCATCTGGAGGATTTGTCTTGAATGAGATCCCAAAGACATTGTTCTTGTCGTCTCTCGCAACATGGAGGTAGTCTGCGTCTGTCTTCTCGTGCTTCAGGTGGATGGCGCTCAGATGCAGCTCTGGGATGTGCTTCTTCTGCTGCACCACGAAGCCATGCAGCTTCTCGCCAGCCGCCGGGTAGCTCTCCAGCGCCGTCACGGTCGACGTAGACGCCCATCTCCTGTCCTTCAGCTTCAATCCCAGGCCGCTCCCTTGCTGTGCATGTCTCGACAAGGCCACCGGAGCCCTGAAGCCTCCCAGCTTGCCCAGCTTGCTTCCTGACCGTAGCATCCTCGCAGCCGGCCCCGTCTCTTCTCAAGCCTCTTGTAGTATCCCGTCTTCAGCGTCCAGCTACTATCATCGTCGAATCCAACCAACCGAGATCAATCCGAGTCTCCTGCGTTTGCGAGCTTCTGGTGTAATCGCAATAATCGAGCTATAGCGAACTGTGTATAAAACGACGGCCAGCAACGACCAGCCTCTGGAGATAACGATAGCCGACGTAGCAATTAACACAAGCAAAGACAAACTATCCAACCGTCGTCCTCGTCCTCGTCTTCGTCTTTCCGTAGATAAATAAATCCCAGGCCCGAAGAAAAATACAACCGAGCAGGAAGTTGGCGCTAGAGACGCTGAGGCGCTGCTTCAATTGGTTGTTTCTTCTTCTTTTCTCTTGGTCTCTTTTTTCTTCTTCGTTTCTGTGACAAATTTGGCTCCTCGACGGAACAAACGCAGCCCTTCCTTCGACTCTGCGACGGCGAGACAGCGAGGACAGACAGAGACAAGCGGGCAGAGGCTGGAGTTAGAGACAGCGAGCGGCATTCGGCCAGGCAGCCATCCTCACCCTCGCTCGGACTAAAAAGACACAGCGGGCGGACCGACTGCTTGCCCACCGGGACACACGCACACACGCACACACATACGAAAGCTGCTCCTCGGGACGCTGCTACGAGGCGACGGACGACCGACTGGGATGGTAAAGACGGCGGAGCTCACCTTTGCCAGTGTACTACGTTCCGACTGCTGCCTGTTGTTGAGCGGCGAGGTGGTCGTGAGAGGGACCGAAGCGGAGACCAGCCGTGGGTGACTTGGAAGAGCTATATCGAAGATATCAGCTACCGGCCATAAAAGAGACGGAGAGTCTTGTACGATCAGTGAATAGAGACGCTGCTCAGGGTCCAGGGGTTCGACTGCGATGGCTCCCACGGCTATAGCAAAGAAAGGGAAGGGCAAGAAACATGCCGACCCGGGGGAGACCTCCAAGCTTCTGGCTGCAAAGATATCGCAGCTCGAGCAGGATGCGGCGGGTGAGAAGGACCAGGAGGCAGAGATAGGTACGTTCTCACTCTACCTCTAGCTGTCTCTCTTTTTGTTTCTCTCTTCTTTTTGTTTTGCCTGTGGATTTATACTGTCTTGTTCTCTTTGCGCCTAAAGAGTGATTCATTCTAACCCCACGGCCGTCTCTTTTTCTTTTTGGCCCGGTTACTATCTACAGAGCGCGAGGTCAAGAAGGCTACCAGAGATCTAAACCAGCTGCTGAGCACTATCGAGTCCCCGATGACCCGTCTTGAGACTGTGCACAAGAAATATACCGAACTTCTGGCGGAGATGAAAAAGCTGGACCGTGACCACAACAAGAGCAAGAAGCGTGCGGATCAGCTGCAAAAGGACCAGGACAAGGGGAAATCGGAGCTGAACAAGACCGTGACCATGAAAGACAAGCTCGAGAAGCTGTGCAGAGAGCTGACCAAAGAGAACAAGAAAGTCAAAGTGCGTTTACCCCGAAAATGTGGCCCGGATTGATATGACAAAAAGATGGATATTGATCGATGAGACAGGACGAAAACAAGAGGCTTGACGATACCGAAAGACGAGCCCGCGGCATTGTGAATGAACGTCTGGACTCGTTACTCTTCGACATCCAGGATGTGATGGCTGCCAAGGGAAGTTCCAGAGTGGAAAATGTTGATATCGATCTTGACGAAGCGTGAGTTGTTCCGCCCTCCAATTGAGTCTGTAACCGCATCTATATTGATTGCTGACTATTTTTAATAGCCTTCGAGCAAAGATAAAGACCATTGGGGAACAGTTTGAATCCCGAGAACTGCATTACAAGGCTGTCCTGCGCAGCAAGGATGCGGAGATCCAGAGTCTCACTGCCAAATATGAAGAGCAACGGCGCGGAGCAGAGAACGAAGCTGCCAGATGCCGCGCCTTGAGCACGCAGGTTTCAACCTTCTCGCAGACTGAGGCGGAACTTCGCAGCCAGCTCAACATCTACGTCGAAAAATTCAAGCAGGTATGGCAGCGCCATTTTGATCAAGCATCCTCCGTGATGAAATAATAGCTGCAGCAGATGCTAAAACCGAAGTTCACTCAGGTTGAAGATACCCTCAACAACAGCAACGAACTGTTCTTAACATTTCGAAAGGAGATGGAAGACATGTCCAAGAAGACAAAACGGCTTGAAAAGGAGAATCTAACCTTGACTCGCAAACATGACCAGACAAATAGAAACATCCTCGAAATGGCCGAGGAACGCACGCGCAATAATGAAGAGCTCGAGAAATGGCGTAAGAAGAGCAACAGCCTTGAAGCCCTTTGCCGGCGAATGCAGCAACAAGGCCGTGGGCACGCCGTCGAAGGTGAGCTAGACGTGGACGACGAAGGCACCGAGAGCGAATATGAAGAGTACGAAGACGAAGACGAGGAAGATCTAAGTGAAGACGGCGAATATCACTCTCACGGGGAGAACGAGCCCCCCCATCTCCACCAGCATCCAGCAGCAAGCGGAGCTCAGCCGACGAAGCCTGTATTTGGCCCGCCGCCGCCTCCAACCATGGTTGAAGCGCGATCAAACGGGAATCTCCCCGTCCTGAATGGGTACATGCATTAAGTGGTCGTCCCTGAAAAAAAAAGGGGCTGGCCACGCATTGCATTGTAGAGTAACATGAAATGAAAAGAAAAAGAGAAAAAAAGGATAAAAACCCGAAAGATATAAGAAATGGGGGAAGTTGTGTGTATGATTGTACATGCGAGGCTAAGAGAGGACGTGAATTTAACCGCTTGGACGGGCTGTTCAATATTTTGAACGGGACGGTCCAGGGGGTGCTTTGATGTCTCTGCCTTGGATACCATGCACCATACATAAACCCCTTAACAACCGCTGTCTACCACGCCTTGAGCTCTCCCTGTTAGTTAGAAATGTTTTGCGTAACGATTTTGTTCCTCTACTCCGTTTCTACTGCTTGACTTCTTTGGCCTCTTGATTGATTGGATTGGTCGAAAAGGCCAATTTGGCCCAGTATTGACCATAATGATTGGTTGCTCTACCATTGATGCTATATATCAAGTAAGGACCTATCTCCTAGTCTATCTTGTAGTCCACTAGGCTATCCTCTAGTCTATATACTCTAGCCTATCCAGTACAGCATTGCCAGAGTTGGAATATGAGATTAATTGAGTCTGCACTGCTTATAGCCCCTGAGTCTCCAACTCCCCTAAGGCATAACCCTTAGTTACCCCAAGCGTAAGGAGTATAGAATAAGGATAGTAATATATCATAGCTTGCTGCCCTGCTTATCGCCCATGTAAGAGCATCCCAACTCCAGCATCTGCCGGGCTTCGGCCACCATGGAGTCGACGATATCCTTGGCCGGCTTGATATCGTTGACGACGGCAGCAACCTGGCCCATGAGAAAGGGGAAATCTATCTCCTTGTCCTCCTCCATATCCTTCATCAGCGGTACGATGCCGCTCTTTGTCAGTCGTAGAATCTCCTCTGGCTTGCTCTCCCACTCCCTGATATAGTCGTTCTCGCGGCACCGCAGCGGCCGACCAGATATCACCAGGGTCCTGACGGTGTCCCCGAAGCCAGCACTCACCACGGCCTCTTTGTGAAGCTGGCTGGCACCGCTCTCTTCCGCAGCAACAAACCGAGTGCCAACCCAGACGCCAGCAGCACCCAGCATCAGCGAGGCCGCCAGGCTGCGGCCGTCATTGACACCGCCGGCAGCAACAACAAGCGGTGTCTTACCGGTCAGCGGGCTGCGGTACTTGCGACAGACGTCCACGACGGCCGGTATGAGGATCGAGAAGGGGATGTCCCCTGTATGGCCGCCTCCCTCGCCTCCCTGGGCGCAGATGATGTCGACGCCCGCCTGCAGCGCCTTCTCGGCATGTCTGGGAGCGCCCACCATGTTCATGATCAGAATGCCGGCCTCGTGCAGGCGCTTGATGGTGTGAGCCGGCGGGATGCCCACGGCAGAGACAAACAGCTTTGCGCCGTGCTTGATGGTCACTTCAATCAACTCGTCCAGATGGCCGTGGGTATAGTCATGGTTGGTAGCCCGCGCGCCGTCGCCGACCTTGGGCAGCGCAAGGTCAACGCCAAAGGGCAGGCCGGGGCTCTTGAGATGAGACTTCAGCTCGACCAGCATCTCCTCCAGCTGCGCTGGGCTGTAACCGAGCCCCCCGATGGTGCCGAGGCCGCCAGCGTTAGAGACGGCCGCTGCCAGGGGCCCGCCAGAGGTGCGCGCCATGCCAGCAAGGAGGATGGGATGCCGGATGCCGAGGAGCTCGCATAGGGGGGTGTTGATAGGGGATGCCGGAGTCGCAGCCATGTTGCTAGAAGTGACTATACTATATCATCAATGTTTGTAGAGACAGTTGCTCTGCAAGATACGACTAGAGAGAATCAAGAAGAGAGTATAGAGATGATGCATTATGGAGAGATCGTAAATTGATCGACAGTTACTGCAATGCTAGTCAACCCCCTAGTAAGTCTGAGATGCCGCGGCCCAGCAATTTCCCCGAGGATGCACGCGAGCCTTTACTGCTTAGTTAATTACCTAGGCACGGAGTACTTCACCAAGACCTCAAGGATGACCATCCTGCTACTTTCTTCCTATTTTGAAGCTAAAGATAGAGGCGTCTCAAAGCTTAGGGTTACAACATACTTGAGATCCTTGGCTGGTCGTTGTCCGAGTATAAGAAGACTCCGAAGAACTCACAGGCCCGTTCGAGCAGTCTGTATGGTGAGAGGAAGAAGAACTGGCCATAGACCAAAGATTGAGACAGCCAGGAAACTCCATTTCGTATGAATCCATATGCCTCGACTAAATTAGGATTAGTTAGCTGTGACGTACATGTGTACGGATGTTGGTTACTTACCGCTCCGTATGGAGAGGAATACTGTAGCTGCTGCTATAGCGCTATGCCCAAGCCTTTGCCTGAGAAAATCTCGTTAGATCTCCTATTCTGTAGTGCTATATAGCGTTTGCCCAGTACCTTCAAATTTAATCCCATGGTCTCGGATTCTGTTGGACCACAAGGGTCAAAAAGGCCTAATACCTTAAGGATACCTTGGGCAATGTGTACGAGCCTGGTTAAGGTGGAATATCCCAACAATCTTTAATCGTCAGCCCTGAGTTGGCAGCCGCGATATGTATTTCCGGTGACACGGTGAAGGGGAGACCATACCGGGTTGTGTAGTAGTGGGAGGATCCATGTGAGATCAATATCTAGAAGGGTATCTGGCCTACCGTCACGGCATGGACGAAAAGGACGGAGCTCTTTGTACTCAGGTGGCTATTGCTGCTGCTGAGGACGAAGGAGAAAAGAGAGGAAGATCCGGTGTGCGTTTCCCCCTTTGGTTCTGCTGATACCCCCTTAAGGGCAGAGATACCTATATGCTGGATATAAGTATGGTACTTTATTCGAGTGTCCTCCATCGTCCATCGTCGCGTCTGTTGGTGCTGCAAACGCTGTTGCACCTCAAGGGACAAAAGGCCTGATGTCCCATGGATGCCTCTGGATACCTTGGGTAATGAGTGCGAGCCGTAGCTAGAAGTGGAATATCCAATTAGTATAGGTATGTGACAGGCACAACCGCGGCGGCAAAAAGTGTAATATGTCCCTGCCAAGCGCTGTAGTTATTACATAAGCACATCCGCGTATTTGATAGGAAGACGCGGTTCTTACAGCGACAGCTTTTTGGTGGTGGCTATCTAGGAGATACCTTGACCGGCCTCATAGACGACCATGGAGGACCCCGCGGAGGCCTTCCTCTGCCCGCCGCTGTAAGTCTTTTGAGTCTGGCTCTTCGCTCTCTATCTCACGCCGTTTGGGGGTTCCCTTTTTCTGACGCGCTCGACGGTCAATTGCAGTGAAGATGGCGCCCCCGAGACCCTGTTCCGCGATCCCTCGCTCTACAACCCCATGGGCACGTTCCGGTTGCCCCCCGGCGGAGCTAGACACTACCAGCAGCAGTACTCAGACATCTACTTCCTACGGCTGACGAGGCTCAAGCCGGCTGTCGCGGAGGTAGCAAGGGCTGCCTGGGAAGGCTATAATGTACGTGTGCAGCAGAGCTCAATCCTGATACCCATCAAAAGTAGGTTCAAGGTGGCATGGACTTGGACCACAAGCTTCACACAAGGAAGACGCTAATGCAATGCTCACTTTGCATTGATTGAACAGATTGCTGGAGAGTACGCGCGAAGGGTTGATCGAGTGCTCGATGTCCGGCAAGGTGAGCTCTCGTGGGTCGTGGGGACCGTTTACATGGAGCTTCCGTTAAAACCCAGTATCATGGACGACATCTCCAAAGAGGTATGTATGCTCGCCCTTTGTGCAGCGGACCATGCTAGGTTATGCTGACCTTTGGTACCTTAAACCGCTAGAACTGGACTGCAGCTCCCGTACCACAAAAGACATACAACGACCCCAACAGTAAAAAACCCACCCAGACCATGGTGGAAGACGAGTCCGGGAGACTAGTCCTCACGGGGAGCTTGCTGCAATCAAGCTTCCTAGTTACTGGTGTTGTCGTCGCAGTCCTCGGGACGGAGAACGCGGACGGCGAATTCGAAGTTGTCGATATCAAAGTCCCGGATTTACCCCCGCAGCCGGGACGGTGGGAGAGAGAGCAGGAGTCGACTACAGACGGCGTACCCGCAAAGCGGAAACACACTGCTCTAGAAGCTGGCGGCGGCAGCGGACCTGGAAAAGGCAAAAAGATTGCATTTGTCAGTGGGTTGGGCATTACTGGCACTTCCGGTGATACTGTGGCCCTGTCCCTCCTTGCGGACTACCTCCTTGGTTATACCGGATCCATCCCCAGCACGGAAGATTTTACCTCCACCAGCCCTCCTCAGATTTCACGCCTTGTAATTGCTGGTAACTCACTTGGGGCCAAGGTTGCCTCTACTGTCGATGATGCTGCCAACTCCGAAAAGCGCCAGCCAAAAAAGTACGGCTACGATGCATCAGCCTACAATGCCTCTCCGATCACCCTCTTTGACGGCTTTCTCTCTGATATTCTTCCAAGCATTCCTGTGACTCTGATGCCGGGAGAAACGGACCCAGCAAACTTCTCTCTACCACAGCAGGAAATACACACCGCTATGCTTCCTCGGTCCAAAGCATACTGCGCACCAGTAGCGCCAAAACTCCAGGCCATACCCTATGAGCCTGGCTGGCTAGATAACGTCACCAACCCCTGGGAAGGGGATATCGAAGGTTGGAGATTTTGGGGCTCCAGTGGACAGAACGTAGACGATATCCTCCGATATGTCAGTCTCGAAGAACTAGAAGACGATGAAGACGAAGATACACAGAATGGCGTACGACTTAAGCTGATGGAACATATGCTTAAATGGCGCTGCGGCGTCCCAACTGCCCCAGACACCATATGTAAGTCCTTCACATAACGCCCACTCTCTAACCAGCTCATTGCTAACCGTCTTCTCAGGGTGCTATCCATTCCAAGACAAAGATCCATTTGTCATACAATCATGTCCCCATGTGTTCTTCGCAGGGAACCAGCCGTGCTTCCAGTCTACTGTTATCGAAGGGGGTGATTGGGGGACCGAGGATGACAGTATCACAAAAGTAAGGCTAATAGCCCTGCCGAAGTTCCACGAAACCGGTGAGATCGTCCTGCTCGACACAGAGACCCTCTCTGTGGAAGTAGTCAAGTTCGGTACTCTGGAGAAAGCCGGTACCGTTGAAAAGGAAGAAGAAATGCCTGATGCGTCATGAATATCGATGTTTTAGCAAGCGCCTTCAAAGGGGGGCTTATTATAACTCCAGCAACAGAATTTAATGTAGAGATATCCTCACTGGAATACCAATGGTCAAGTAGAAATGCGTCATCCAAATATGCCAATCCAGTAACTATCAAATAGATGATGATGTCCTTAGATAGCCCACTTGTTACCTAAGGTTTAACTAATGCCTAAACTATTAAAACTGCATTGTTAGTTGCCCTCTCCTCCAACGTCCTCTCTAACCTAGGACCGCATGTCCCCAAAGCTTAGCTAGAAAAAGGATACAAGATGCTTGTAAACGAGAATACATGTAAGGATATACACAGTTTAATTAATGCATAAGGGTTGGAGAGGGGGCAAACCCTGTGAGACGGTTGCTAACGGTTTATTATAGGCGTATCGTCTTCGAGAGTTTTTCTCGTGCCATATTCAAAGCACCACGTACCGAAATACCATGAATGGATGAAAGACCCTGTATGATTCCCCTGGAAGGCTGAGGGTTTCAGGATCATGGATATCATTTAATGTTAAAGCGGACACGGGCCGGAATCTGACGCTGACCCGTCCGTGCTAGGATATCAGGAGATACAAGAAGCTACAGCCTCGGAACCGCTTACTCTAGAAGAAGAGTATCAGATGCAACAGAGCTGGAGGAAAGATGCAGACAAGTTGACCTTCATCATCTGCCACCCCATACCCTTGACGGACGCTTCCGACCGGTTTCAAGCGGCGAACTCCTATCGAGTTAAGCCTACGAGCGATGATGCTCCCAATCGAATGATAGGGGATGTAAACCTGTTCTTGAAACTAGAAGAGCAGGGTAGCAATGACGAGGGCCTAGACTGCACACCAGAAGAAGTCATTGTTGGAGAGCTAGAGCTGATGATTGCGGAGAAGCAGCTGCAACGAAAAGGCTTCGGGAGAGCCAGTCTGATCTGTTTCTTGAACTACGTCGTCACCCATATGGACCAAATTCTATCTGAGTTTCAGGGCCAGACTGGCTCTGAGGAAGGAGGACTGGAAGCCACTGCGGGTAAACAACTGGAATATTTCGTGGTGAGAATCGCAGCCAGCAATGAGCGAAGTGTGGCTCTTTTCAAGAGCCTTGGGTTTGCTGCTGTATCGGATGAACCGAACGTCTTTGGAGAATTAGAATTGAGGAAGCACGGACTAGAAGCCTCTGGAGAACTGCAAGAATGGATGAAGTATTACGGTATAGAAGGTTATAGCGAGTTGCCTTACAACTGAGCATTATTGGAATTGTTAGGATTTGGTAGTTCTTAAGCCGCATCTTTGTCATAGCTTAGTCTCGAAAGGTTCTTTGCTTACCCTCGCCGCATTGCGATTTGAGAAACCGAGTATACTGATAATTGACTGTATACTAGCCCTGGCACATAAACCCAGCCTCATCGTTAAATATATGATATGCAGTAATATCCTTCCGAGAGTTTGTACAATGTCATTTACATTATACTGTATGCAAACGTGCATTGTGAATATGCTTGTGACAAAAGTCCTGGTTGTAAGTCTCAGGTAGGGAGTAATTTATTGGGATATCATAAAAACGAGTCAATCCGGGATCGGGGACGCGGTTATGGCGTGTTTTCCGGCGGTAATTACATCAATTGGCTTCCCAATACACAATGAATCTCTGTAGATTATGTGCTGGACCATTTGCCACGCTTCTTCCATCCAATTTTCCTGACGTAAAATCATGCCCTCCCGCATTAGATATTTTTTTTATTCAACAGCACCACCCCTCATTTCACCCATCCTCGATATCTAGGTGGTCTTCTTCTTGGTACCCTTGGAGACATCAATAATTTTCAGGGCTAAGAAAGGTGAGATAGCCCGTCAGTAAAACTAGCAATGATGCGCCTCATCCTCCATCATTTCATTATTAGGTGGTAAAGATAACATACCAGGTGGTAAGCTCTGCTTGAGCTTGTCTGCCTTATCGGCGTCTCTGAGGATGAGGGTGTACAAGAATCTGTTGCATCGGACCTTGAACTTGATCTGCTGGTTGGTGCGGTTGCGCTTGATGCGAGCAGCTAAAAAGAAGAGAAGAGAATCAGTCAGCGTGGTCTTTGATTATACTTCTATCTTCAGCCCATATAAACGTGTCTGGTTGACAGCATTGAGTGACATATGCACAGAAACAATATTCCTAGGGAAAAGCGTACAGGAAGCGTCCTTCCGTCGGCAGATCTCAATGAACTGCTTGATATCAGAGACTTCGGAAGGCATGGTGGGCGATAAGTACGAGTATACCGTCGTTTTGTAATGGCCGGGTGGTGTCGAATGAATGAACCTCGCTGTCGCTAGTTGTTTCTTCAAAAATGTCGAAAATATTGCTGTGTGTGAACTTCAATTAGGGTTTCGCGATGGTGGAACCCTGACTTGTCGCCGAATCAGGACAAGGCGCTTGTATTGGCGCTTAAAGCGTTTAATTTCCCCAATTCGGGGTTAGTTCAGGCAACTACATTTAAACTTGGAATTTGATAACAGCTGGCCAAAAGGATGAAGGCGCATAAGATGAATATATAGAGTAGACTGTCGTCCCGTTCATCTCAAACTCTTCGAAATAATAGATATAAAATCAATAGGCATATTAACAGGAAAATGCCTACGCCCCTGGACAAAGCTCTTCAGTCTAAGGTATTTTCTCCTCCAAAGTCTAACTACAACTGTGCTAACACCTGAAAGAACCTGCTTGTCGGTAAATAGATGATGCCCCCCCAAAAGGTAGATAGTGTTTAAATAACTTATTTATGCAGGGTTTGTTGGCCTTGTGACTGCTGCCGCAGTATGGAGTATATGGGGAAGTGAAATGTTCCCTGCTGAAGCCGACCCGACTGGAGGTGAATTTTCCGACATCAATCGACTTCTTTGTTTATTGATCCCAAAGTCTAACGGAATACACGAATAGATCCCGAATATTGGACGTTTGACGAGTTGCGGAGGTGGCTCCGAGCGGTAAGCCAATACAAACCGCATTTCCAAAAATCTTTACTCCGTAGAGTATATGGTATAGAACCCATCGCTGATTTAAGTGCCATACAATAGCGCGGACGGCTCCCCAACGAGCAAGCCTCAAGGGAAGAGTTGCTAGAGAGGGTAAAGGCAAATATGAGGCCTTAGCCCAGTGGGTATCGTGTCTTGCTCTAGGGTTGATTAAATAGGATTAGAGCTAGGGGTGTTTGTCCGGGCTTGTTGACTGAAAGAATGTATTCCTTTTGTTTGGCACCGTATCGCCGCACGCCGCAGCTAACCCTTAAGCCAGGGTGCTAATAGCAAGTTTTGCAACTGAGTCGGAAAAGTGATGAAAAGCGAGTCCAAGGGATTATTCGAGACTGAAAATGCATCAAACAACAATCCTGAAATTTTGGCTCTGTATCAACCACTGCTTCCCCCGTGCTTTCGGCCCACTGGGTGGATTTGGAATCAGGACAAAAGTCTCGCTAAACCCTCGGTTCGGTGAATCCCACGTTTCCTTTCCTTCTCCAAATTTCACGTAGCCGCTCACAATAACTAATATTGACATACTTTTCGCTGGGTCTGACGTATTGCGATTTGTATTGGCTCCGAATGGGCTTGCCACATCGTCTGTGGCGGAGGGTGGAGCCACAGGGTAATTGGGGTTGAGGACCTGACAATCATACGACTGAACTTCGTAGTGCGTGGGAGGCAGCTGGTTGACAAATATTTCTTGAACAGAAGCACCATCGGCTACGATATTGCCGTTGAATAGAATATTCGTCACTGTGGGAGCGTAGAAAGAGGAGAGCGTTGACCGGGCATTATCAAGGGCAGAGTAGTAGGATTGAATAAAATTTGTAGTCGCTGGCGCAAGATAATTAGCAGGCAATCTATCACTAACGTGAGGTGTATTAATCTCTCACCATCTGTTGACACTTTTGTGAGGACATCTTCTTGGATAGCGGCGGTCATATTATCTGATTCCCCGCGTGCTTTGCTGTGGATTGGAAAGCAATATGTATAGAGATAGATGGGTATATGAAGTACGTCGCAAAAAGAAACAAATACTATATCTTGAATAAAACTCCAAAACAATAATATTCTCTAGCCAAAGAAATTGTTTGAATGAGAGTTGAACAGTTAAGGCGTTTGTGAAATTCGCAATGTGAATATTTTTAGTTAGACTTCTAGGAGCTTGGACCACCAACGGTAAATATTTATTCCATAAACTTATGCCCAGCGCAAACTCGCCAGGGCGGTTTCCTCTGACTAGCCAGAGGATCGAATGCAGGCTTATGGACCACAATGTTGAAAGCTGAGCTCCGGACTGTCTCGCGGAGCGTGAAGTTTCGAAAAACAAAACCGAACGCATGGATATACGGCTCATATCGACACGCTGGAAATCCCTGGCAGCATCTTAATCGTGGATATGCTACCGAAGCAAAATCCGGTGTGAAATCAAAGCCATACTATGTCACAACACCTATATTCTACGTCAATGCAGGTAGGCTTACCGATTAAAGGAATCTGTTAGATACCGAGTAGCTAATTCTTACGAATAGCACCACACATTGGTCACCTTTATACTATCCTTATCGCCGATATACTCAAACGATGGCAGGTCCTTATCGGCAACGGCGACGCAAAGCTCCTGACGGGGACTGATGAGCATGGGATGAAGGTGCGAGTCGATAATACATGATAATTGAGGATTATGGAGGCTAATGAGCTGATTCCAGATTCAACAAGCTGCACTTCAGAATGGATTGGAACCACAGGCACTTTGCGATAGGAATTGCGAAACATTCAAGGTCTGGCTACACATCAATGTGTCTAATATATTTGGCTCCATGAGGAGACTAATATCTCACAGATCCTGGCTAGGGAAGCAAATGCGAGCCACGATCACTTCATCAGAACAACTGATTCTGCGCATAAAGCAGCCGTGCAATTCTTTTGGGTATAAAGAATCCTTTCCAAACCATCATAGACCTTTTCTCTAAGGTTATTGTAGGAAAATCTTAACCACCGCGGCTATATATATGAGGGTAAACACGAAGGATGGTACTCCGTCAGTGATGAGACGTTTTATCCAGCGTCTGCAGTGCATTCGACGCTTGACCCAGCAACCGGGCGTAAAATGATGGTAAATATCAATTTACTCCTTTCATGATGTAGAGGCTGACCCTTCAAGGCTTCAATTGAAACAGGGAAAGAAGTAAAATTTTCTCAGGAAACGAATTATCATTTTAAGCTGTCTGCCTTTCAAGACCGGTTACTAGAGCACTACCATAAGAACCCAAACTTCGTTCGACCAAAGGTGTACATGGATAGCATAGTACAGAACGTCGCATCTGGACTGCAAGATCTGTCTATTTCTCGTCCTGTTGACCGTTTGTCGTGGGGAATACCCGTCCCTGGAGATACAACACAAACCATATATGTTTGGTTGGATGCTTTGGTCAACTATATTACCTACGCAGGATACCCTTTCACCCCTGGCCGCGAACAAGAGTCCATATGGCCTGCGGATGTCCAAGTTGTGGGCAAGGATATCACTAGGTAGGCCATCGGTACGAGACTGTTTAAACACATGGGCGCCAACTAATATCTTCCAGGTTCCATTGTATCTACTGGCCTGCCTTCTTGATGGCTCTGGACTTGCCACTGCCCCGGACAATCCTAACACACGCACATTGGACGATGAACCACTCGAAGATGTCCAAATCTACCGGTAACGTGGTTAATCCGATGTTTGCCATGGCACGCTACGGAGTTGACCCAATGAGGTTTTACTTGGCTATGAACGGGGGTCTTGCAAGCGACACAGACTATGATAATTCATATATCGTACGAGACTACAAGAACATTCTGCAAGGCGGGCTAGGCAATCTCTGTAGTCGGGTGATGCGAGGCAAAGGGTGGAATGTGAGGGAGAGCGTTGCTAGGATGACAGGTGGGCAGCGCAGCGGAAATGCCAAAGATCCATCCGAAATTGAGCACAAGGAATTCCTGGAGAAGGTCCCGGCCCTCGTATCCAACCAGATGGATGAATTGAACCCTCGCCGAGCGCTGGAGGAGGTAGTGAAGATCATCGACCAGGTGAGTTGTCCCCAACCAACCCTCGTCGTCTCGGAGCATGGCGAGCCTTTCCCGCTGGCTGCAATATGATTCTAACAAGAATGACGGTGTAGACAAACAGATACGTTCAAAGCACTGGGCCGTGGAACCTCGCGAAGGATGCGGCCACCAACCCGATAGCACACGACCGGCTGGTTGGAGTAATCTTCAATGCCACCGAATCCCTCCGCATTGCCGGCATCCTTCTGCAGCCTTTTATGCCCGAGAAGGCTAAGAAGCTGCTCGACATGCTCGGTGTGGAGGAAGACCTCAGCAAGCGGTCATATGCTGCCGCGAAGTATGGGGCTGATCCTGACTATGGGACGCCGAGGGTGCCGCTAGGAAAGGGGCAGGCAGGGACACTATTCCCACCGCTGTTGAGCGAAGAATGATCTATCTCACGAAGGAATTAGGGGATTGTCCTAGATCTTCTTGTTAGAACTTCTTGTATGTATGAATATTTGTACGCTTGTGTGTGTTATTGACTGCTGTACGATAGAAAGAAAACCGATAGCGAGAGCCGCAACTATAATTCTGCACCTCCTAACTAATTACTGGCTCTAGCCTGCTCATGTGACATCCAAACCAACAACCACCAACCTCAAGCCTTCACAGCCAGGCCCATTTATCACCCCAGGACTAGCTAAAGAGGCGATCCAATAGTTCTGAGCTAAAGACTGCTGAAGCCGAGATACGAGACAGCAGATTCGCTCGGCCCTACCCGCCGGCTCCCAGGACGTCATCCCGCAACCTCCTCGCCGCAAAAGAGAAATTAATATCGTACACTTCTCTGCTGTCATCTGCCGAGAGAGAGAGAGAGACAGAGAGAGACAGCCGGCCGGCAAGGGAGAGACTAGGTAAGGCAGAGAAGCCCAACAGAAACCCCAGAATTACCCTAAGATAAAAAACCCCTGCTAAAGTAGAAACAGCCGACAGGCCATCCAATGCGTGTATTCTATTTATATCATGTGCCTACATGGTTTCGAGGTTGCTTGACTGTCTTGGTCTCAGAGGACGCTGGCAAACATACTTGGCTTGTCTACGGAGCCTGCCAGCTCCCTTCGAACCCCAATTGATAGCTGTTGTTATATTACTGAGAACGTTCGATCTAGGCTTCGGCTAATCCCGTCATCCACGCATGGGTACGCTACGCGAAACTGACGGTGTGCTTTCATGGATCAGCTGATTTTTTAAAAAAAAAAAGGGACAAAGAAGAAAAGGAGAAGCAAGGACGAAGAAAAGAGAAATTGGATATATGAAGAAGCAAAAAATTACCAGGTCACACGTCCCATTCCATGCAGTGTAAAGGACCAGATCAGGACATCAGTAGCCGCGCCCGAGTCCAGCCGGGAAGGATGGAGAAGACGAACAAGCAAGCAAGCATGCTGCACGTAATCTCAGCGTTACATGTATAGAGCAGGGCGAGCCGTGCCACAAGCAAAGGACAAGGAAGGGCACTGGGTCGTTTTGACCGACTCGGCGATTCGTCCTCGCGGCCGTCTATTCCCTTTCTCCATGATCGACCACGAGAGGGCGTCTGGACTGAGCAATCAGCCGCCCCCAGGCACCCATCTGACCAGATCAACAGCTTACGGGGTACGGGGTAGACGAAGAACAAAGTATTCTCCGACAGAGCTATGATCTTGTCTGAGGTCTCGGGTTATGGATGATACCAACGGGTTGGCCTCCCTTTGCGTCCCTCTCCCCCAAAGCTCGCCTCACTACCGGCTTGACATCGATATACGGTTAAATGGCACATCTTTACAATCCATCGCCCTCGTGAAGCACTCAAACGGGCGATATATCATTATTGAAATGCCAACAGCGGCGGCGCAGTTTTTTATATACCTATTGAATTTTCCCGTATTCGCTTCGGCCGAATGCGGCAAAACACGTGCCCGGGAAACTGCCCTCGGTATCCCGCGGGAAACTCGGCCTGGCCCCACGGGAAACGCAAACAGTGGGGCGTGCCTGGATCTTTGCGGCTTATGTCAGCACTTACAAACGCCTCCAAAAAAAAAAAAAAAAAAAAAAACAAATAACTCAAACATGACGATGACGATGGAAGCTGATATCAGACGGAAGCAGAGAGCGGAAAGCAGAAGAAGAAGAAGAACAACAAGAAGAAGCAAAAGGACGTCGTCGCCCTTTTTCTTTTTGCCATGCCGGCATCTCCCTGGCCGGCCATGCATGGCTGGACGCTGGGCTTGTGCCTAAATCCCCGAGCTTCCCTGGCCAGCCAGAGTTTCTCGATCGAGTGCTCCCGGCCGTTGGGGGTCGGCACCTTGCTAGGGTCAAGATGGGGGGATGAAAAATCCGGACGATGGCAAAAAAGTTGGAGAAGTTGGAGAAGCACGGAGTCGCGCTGTATAAGAAGATGCTCCCGCCGGCCCCGGGATTCTGTCTTGTTCGTGAGGCGGAGTTTGCAGGGCTTCCGCTGTCGCATCTTATCCACTTCTGCCACTTCCCGTACCAAAGTTTGTTCGAGTTGATGACAGTATCCCGTTTCCCGCCCGGATATCTACTTTGGAGCTTTGTATTTATTTATACATACCAGCCCCCGGACGGACCACACCAGATTTCTTCCCGCGACCTGTTCCCATTCTAGTCCGAGTCCGCTTCCCTTCGTCTTCCTTCGTTGTTGTTGTTGATATCTCTGCTCAACCAGATATCACGCCGTCCATCACAATGGGAAGCATCGAAGAACCCAAGAAGCAGCAGCGCCTGCGCTTGCCATGGATTGAGACCCCTTTGATTGAATCCACCAGTCTCTCCAAAGCTGCCGGATGGTACGACCTCTGCATACCAAGTCAAAATAAACAAATAAACAAAGACTAACTGGATCATCTACAGCCGAATCTTCCTCAAACTTGACAACCTCCAGCCCAGCGGCTCTTTCAAGTCCCGCGGCATTGGAAACCTTGTCCGCAGCCATGCTGCAGACCCGGCAAACAAGGGCAAACGACTGCACTTCTTTATCCCTTCTGCTGGAAATGCTGGTCTGGGAGCTGCATTTGCGGCCTCTGCCCTCAACTACCCTTGTACCGTTACTGTGCCCCTCAACACCAAGCCAGTCATGGTCAAGAAGCTGCAGCAGGCTGGTGCCTGTGTTGTTCAGCACGGAATCAACCTGGATGAGGCCGCTGTTCGCATGCGCGAGATGATGAAAGAACTTAGTGATCACCCAACTCCAGGCGGCACCGAGGTTGTCGCCATCGAATTGCATCCCTTTGACCGCCCGCAAATCTGGGAAGGCGTCAGCACCATGTCAGACGAACTCGCATACCAGCTACCTCCGGCCGAGGACGACGACCCGTGTCTCCATAAGGCGCTTCCCTGTGACGCTATTGTCTGCTCCGTGGGCGGCGGCGGTCTCATGAACGGTCTCATCATGGGAATTGAGCGCCAGGCCCCTATGCTTGAAGCTACCGTGAACACTACGTCTACCAACGGCACAGCCACAGCCACTGCTGCTACCACCCCCACCAGAGACGACAACATCCATATCATCGCTACAGAGACCCGCGGCGCCCACTCCCTCGCCGCATCGGTTGAGAAGGGCTCCCTTACATCTCTCCCTAAGATCTCATCTGCCGCCACTTCACTAGGCGTCCTCAGAGTTTCCCAGAAGACCTGGGACTACTACAGCTCTCCGCCAAAGGGCGTCAAACTTCACTCCCTCGTACTCTCGGATGCCGACGCAGCCCGCGGATGCCTTCGTCTGGCAGAAGAGGAAAAGATTCTTGTTGAGCTCGCCTGCGGTGTCTCCGTTGAGGCAGCATTCGGACCCCATCATGCACCCGAAGCCGATGCTCCACCAGCAAAGAGAGTCAAGCTCAGCTCTGAGGGCAGCGCACCAGTAACTAACGGAGGCTCTGTTGCTCCCGGTATAGATAAGACTTTCCTACAGCAGCTCATTCCAAACTTTGGCCCACAGACTAGAGTCGTCATTGTCGTCTGTGGAGGAAGCAATGTCTCCCTCAGTATGGCTGCTGAATGGAGGGAGAAGCTTGATGCCGGCTGGGGTAGCGATGATCCAGGCAGCATCGCCGTCCCACCCACATCGGCATAGACATGATACCATTTTCCCCGCTTAATCACTTTGCGTTTTGTTTTCTCTTATTGTTTTGCATGCCCGGTTTATATAAATGGCGGGCTTCCTTTAATGATGGCTTGATATGATGAGGTTATGGCGCTTGAAGGAGTTTTAAAAAAATATCCGGGGACTTGGGACTGTCTTACTACACCTTTTTGTCTCTTTTTTTGTGATTATATGAGCCTTTTTTATTTCTACCGTCACTGTACACACACAGGTAATAGTGTGTCATTCGTCATACCCCTTGTCCCTTTCCTTTCTTTGACCTTCTATGTTGATACACCGAAAAAACATCCACACATGCGCTCGCGAGAGGAACGTAGAGAATAGAAACTGAATACCTAATATCACTACCTATCTGTCTAATGATTTAATCCGGTACTCCCAGTAATTCTTCCTGACTGGATCGTATTTATCCTTCAGCAGCGTAAACATCCGCACCGCACTGCACTTTGCCTCAGCCTCATTGGCCTGCTCGGCATACACGTCGCCCAGCCACTCCAACGCATGGCTGCTCTTGACCAAGATCTCACCTTGGCCCCCTTCAACCACCTCTTCAACGACGAATCGCTGTGCGAAGCCCTGAAGGTCCGCCAAGTTTCGACCTGCAACCTTAAGCACACCTCGCATATATGTCCAAGGGCTCCGGTTCTCGGGAGCCAACACAGTCTTCTGCTTCGCATACTCAATCTCCCCATCAACCATTTCCTCGTCCACAACGACCATCCTGCCTGCACCGGCGCCACCAACACCAGCTGTGGTCCCTACCCCAGGCAATCCGCCATCAAATCCCTCCCGCGGCGCAAACCGCATGATCCACCGATGGTTCCAGGCGGAATTGTTCCTCACATCCTCGCCAATCATTCTCTCTATGTCCGCCAACTCGGCAGGAGAGTCCCATAGCTTGAAATGGCGGAGTAGCCAGTGTCTGTATGTCCAAACATGATAGTTCTTGGCATCTAGAGAAAACATCTTCGCTAGGAATTCCAGCTCACCCTCAGGCAAGGTAGGGAAGACAGATTCATTGGACATTATCACCTGTCGATGATGCCTATAGATAGACATGCCGTTAGCGGGACATGTTCTTGCCTGGCAGCAGTATATGAGCATGGGGTATCGGCTACCATATCTGATAGCTCTTTAGGTATTTAGTAGATAGCTGGTCGAGCCAGTTAAGCTCAGCCTTTAGATCTTTCCCCAGAGCTTTAAGTATTTGCGCTCTGTACAGCCTGTCATTGGTACGCGGTGGTCAGTATACTTCCTTACTCAGAACCTTGCAAAAGAATAAAATATCAAGAGGAGAAGACATACCAGACGGTATAGTGGGCCGGGTTTGATCGGATCACGTCTTCGGTCAATTCAAGAGCCCGGTCTGACATCTCGTTGGCAGCCATCACAGCTCGCAGATAAGCCGTAGCCTCAGCATAGTCCTCGGAATAGGCGATTGTTGCAAGCGGCAATGTCTCGCTAGCTACGTTGGAGGTAGTCACAGCATCGTCACCAGCGGCGTTTTCTCTGTCTACCTCAGTGAAGCGGTTTGACCCATCATCCAGAGGGATGGGAGTAACTGACGCCCACGCGGGGTCGGAGGAGTATTTTGACATGGTAGGGTATCGTTTTTTTTTGGTTTATTCTAACGAGGAGAAGAACGGCATGGGCTTCAGAGAAACGTCCGCTGGGCAGAACAGACAGGCTGAAGAGATGTCTTGATTATTTTATGTCCAAAAAGGCGCCGTCAAAAGCTCAGGATGAATCGACGTTTTGCTTTTTGTATTGTTCGAACAAAGAGCAAAAGAGTACAATATGTGACTGCTTATGTAATCATCTATACAGAAGATATCAAAGGTAGAAAAAGAAGAAGCAGAAGCAAAGATGAATATGCGAAGATGGACGGTGGATTGTATTGGTAGCTACTGTGAAGTACTGCTCTAAAGAAAGGCAAAGGCAAGGCTTGAAATGAAGCAAGAATTGAACGTCGTCTTCACTTCGTACAGGGTTAGTTAGTTATATTAGAAAAGCATAGGAGTATCAAAGTATCAAAATGATAGAAGGAAGAAGGGATGCCGAAAGGGAGAATAAAAGAAAGGCATCAGAGAGAGCTCGCAAGACCCCGAACCAGTAGAGAATAGTCGAGCAAGCGGTTGTTTTGGCCGAAATGTAGGGAAAAAAGGAAGTAGTTTATCTCCGTCGTCTGCAGAGTCTATATCCCCCCCTTTTATTGTATATCCAAAATTTGAACATGTATCAATCAGGTTGAAGTTCCGCGTCTCCAGAACTTCCAGCCTTCTCTCTTCTCTGGCCCGCCAACTCCGACAAGCTGTTCGATGCCGCTGATGCCAACGGCATTCTCAAACTTGATTTGATCTATTTCCTCGCCGCCTTCTTCGTCAGTGCCGTTCTGGAGGACGGCAGGCCAGAGGACGCCAACACCGTCTCCGCCTAGATAGGTCTCGTAGCGATCGTAGCCCTCGTCGTCTAGTTGTTCCTCTAGATGTTCAATTGCTTCCTCGTTCCAATTGGCCTTGAGCAAGGTGATGGTGCATCCTCCTCCGCCGGCGCCTGTCAGCTTCGTCCAGCCGATATTAGCATGATCAACCAACTCTCGGATCCGCTCCAGGCGAGGATGAGAGACGCCTAGAGACACAAGCAGGCCGTGGTTGATACGGAATAGCTGGCCGAGATGATCTATCTTATCACTGCAGTGTTCGTCAAATTCGTCAGAGGCAATGAGGCTGTATGCGCTCTCCGTAGCGTGTTCGATGCTGTCCAGGACCGACTCTGTCACAAGTGGGTGTGCTTTCTTCAGGGTGGCCACTTTTGCAACTTCGACAGCTGTGGATCGAGGCTGGCGCGAATTGATCAGGAGGAGCTTCATCTGCGGGAAATCTAACATCGGGGTGACGGTTGGCGGCTTGGAGTAGTCTCCTCTCCTGAATATGACTGCCTTGCCGCCGGTAGACACAGTGTTATCAACACCACTGGGATTGCCGTGAATACAAAGCTCACCAACGAATGCCCACCGGTTAATACGCTCCAGCTGTACCTCTGCCTCGTCTGGCGGCTGATCCTGGTGTGGTCCTGCCAGGATGCGGACCTGCAGCAGCAGCGCCGTGCTCAGGCAGACGGAGACACTCGCACTGCTTCCCAGGCCAGCTCCCACTGGTATCGTTGACCGAAGCGTGTAGATGGCAGCATGGGTCTTCGGCGACCCGAGCGAGAGGAAGAGATAAAGGAACTGGTTGGCCGAGGCCTGGTGTATCTTCCGTATTTCCTCCGGCTTATCCGACGAAACCATTGCAACGTGAGGCTTGAGGGCCTCCAGTAGCTCCGGGTCCAGCTCTGTGACCGAGTCGTAGTAGAATTTCTTCTTGGACGGGTGGTGGAAGACCTCCCACGGCAACGAGTCGATATCCCACGTAAAATCCAGCCCGATGTCCCTGAAATTGAGCGTGACCGTCCGGTGCGACTTCGACAGCGTCGTGACGAGCAGATAGGACCGCAGAGATATCGCAGCAGCCATTGCCTTTCTCCCATGCACGACCGCGTGCTCTCCAAACACAATGACCTTGCCCGGCGCCGACACCATGAACGGCGGCGCCATTGGCGACGACAGCTTCCTGCCCATCCTCGACTTGACGCTCAGCCTGCCTGGTGGAAGCCCTTCTATTCCCGATCGTACCGGCGACGGCGTGATGGCCCCGTCTGAGCTGTCTACCGATTCATCGTCTGGCATGGTCATCTTCAGGCTGTGGCGGCCGTTGCGCTGCTTTGATCGTACGGGTATATTGCTTTCGAACCGCTCAACCATGGTTGCCATAAAGCCTGTTTTCCCTGTACGTTCTTCTCAAATTCAATTAAAGCTCTCTCTCACTCTGTCCGACCCCCTTTTTCACCCTTTTGCTACGCTGTTTCGGTTTCACAACGCGGTCGTTTTGTCTAATGTTTCGGCTTCTTCTTGTTAACGTCGCATGGTGGCGCGGGGGGCAGAGAGTGTCAGGCAGGCAAGACAAGGCAGGTGGATTTCGGCGGCCGCAGTCGTTTTCCAGGTACCTGGCTGTGCTTGTCCCTGTAAATATCCGCCGAACGGTTCGTATGCAGCTTGACGGGCCCAGCTCGCGGTGGTTGACTGAGTATTTAGCTGGCGACGAAGGTCAGCCTGAGAACCGAAGGGGATCAGGGATTTCGACAGCGACGGCGTACGAACAGAAAGGCTGACGTCCGCTTTGCAGTTCCTAATTTATGGGCAAAGAATTGATAACGAGTCAAAAGGTGGCGAGAAGCTGAAAGATGAGCTTCTGGCTTTTTGGGCTGAGGATGTTTTCTTTTTCCTCGTCTGGGATCTTCGTCGTCGTATAGAAATAGACATCATTTGGTGATGCTGATGGCGATGACGATGATGACGATGATATCAAAAAGGCCAATTTATTTGATCTACCGAAATGCATAGTTATGTATATAGATAAAACATAGCAAAACGCTGTACATATGAACGCTGAAAAGTTATGCAGAGACAAATGGTAAATAGAGACAGAACCAACAATAGATACATAACTACGCGGATCATAGGTTCATGGTAACAGTGACGCTGTTGCTGTGGACGAGAAGGCACGGGGGAAGACCGTCGCAGAGCACCTCGAGGTCGCCAACGTACGCTTCACTAGAGGCCTTATCTTGGGATACCCCTTCGGCAGGGGTTGGTAAGGTGGTGAACACAACTGCCGTGTCCTTGCTCTGGGACTTGATCAGCTCGTTCAGTATAAGATGCTGGGCCCGGCCTGGCAGATCGTTAAATGAGAGAGGGATGGCCGCTTGGGACGGATACCCAGACGCCCGCCGAGGGCACTCCGCGTCTCCTTCGGCCGGAACAAGGGCAGGCTGGCTAGAGGCGTCGCCGTTGCGGGTGTATATTGACTCGAAGCCTGCCGCTGCTGGGCTGCCGCGGCGCGGAGGAGACGAATCAGCAAACATGATCGAAGGCCCTGTACCTTCTTCTGATACCACCTTCGTCGCTGGAATGGGCGCAGAGGAGAATTTGGCGGTGGATGCGACCCGGCCTTTCTTCGTAAACATTGCACGGGGTGAAGGCGTAGCCGCACTCGTGGGTGTCTCTGCGATTTCTTCCGGCTCCATGACAGTTGGAACGTCAGAGGCTGCCATTGGGTTATCGCCCTCTCCTTCATTCTCGCCCTCGCTTTCACTAAGGTAAGAATCCGAATCACTCTCTTCTGAAGACGACTCGTCCCCATCAGAGTTGTAATCTACCATGGAATCCAGCAGCCGATGGGTCTGCATCCCGAGACTGACGCCAGGCCCAATCGAGCGTCTCCGAGACGACTCGATAACTCTCTTGAGGCCCTCCAGTCCCGCACGTCGTCTACCTTCACGCGGAGTTGTAGTTCCAGATCCCGTCGGAGTCTGCCTCTGTGATCTGTTGGATCTGCTCCGGGCTTCCTCAGAAGCGGTCCTATACCGTCCAAGTTCATTCCACCAATCCTCCTCTTCCAATGTTTGTTCAACAGCGTCAAGCACAGCCTTATCCACGTTATTTCTGTCTCCATTGACGATTATGCGGTAAGTCTGTAGGTCCCCGCTGGCAAGCCAGAATACCAGCACTTCGGCACCGATCCGAAGTTTTTCAAGTAGAGTCATCACTCTCCCTCTTTCTTCCTCGACGTCTGTCTCATACTCTACAAACACTGCCACTCGCAAACGGCATGATTGTTTCCAGGATGGGACGGTGTTCAGAATACAGCCAAGTTGCAATATTAGTGTATATGTGTCAAAATTGGTTGTGAGATAGTTGGTACGTGACCGCCCTCCCTCTGATGATATCTCTCCAGACATCTGGATCGGCCAGAGATCTATAAACTTGGAGGGCAGTTCATCGTTGGTACCTGGTAGCTCGATATTCTCAAACCCTCTGGCAACTGCAACATTGATGCGTAGCTGGAATAGTAAATCCTCCAGGGTCGTCAGGTAGCTCTGGACATTCATCGGTGGGTTTGTCTCGAACGAATCCGTTCTAGTTTTCCGAAGGGTTTCTCTTCCATCTTCACTAACAATTGAAGCGCGTCTCGTTGACCGTCTCAGGGGAGCCACAGAGTTGAGCAAAACATCAGGGTTGCCCTTGCGGAATTGATCGATTACAACCACGTTGGGTCGCATTCCCCCAAGTCCAGCACTTAGCACAATATTCCTGACGCCCCATTCGTTATTGGGAGCAGCTGTTATGTTGATGAAGGCTTTGACCTTTGAAAATTCAATGAACTTATTCCATGCAGTCTGTTCCTTTCTAACCACTGGAACAGCGGTTGCGAAATCGTCCGTGACTAGAACCCGGCCTAGCACGAAAAGACCGCCTTTCTTCAACGAATTGCAAAACTGGATCATTTTATACTGTTCCTCGAAATTGTTGACAAATAAGAGGATCTGTGGGCGCCAGAATTTGACATGCTCAGGTCGAAGTCGAAGCAGATATTTTCGGACCTGGTGGTATATAAGACTTTGACTGACGTCTCCCCACGTCTTTGGAGGAGCCATGTAGTGAATTAGGAGGAAGAGAGTCACCAACACGCAAACACACGCCGTAGCGTATACCCCATCAGTGAAAAACATACTGGCTCCACTGATAACTGTCCCAACGAAAGCAGTTGTAGAATTGAAGTAACGAAATGATGGCCGGAAATTCGGGGCGGATCCAATTTTGAGTAAGAAACAAGCTAGGTTGGTGACCAGGAAGGTCATCAAGTACGCCATGGAGACGAAAGAGGCGATCTGGTTGATATCGGCGAATATAGTTACCTGAGCTATTACAAAGGTGATGAGGATAGAGGAGATAGGGTCATCGTTTTTCTTGGTTCCTTTTGCAAAGATTGACAAACCGGGCAGAAGGGCATCCCGAGCTATGGCCTGCAGTACTTTTGCCGCACCGATAATTCCCATTAGAGACGAGAAAAACGAGGTTGAAAACTCGCCAAGGACAATGAGAGACCCAGAGATATTTATCTAACCGTCATAGTTTAGTAAAAAGCATTCGTTTGGACATTGTGGGAAGAAGAATGGTACGACTAACATCTTGGATGATATTGACATCTTTATATAGGGACTCTCTTGTGACACTCGCCGCCATTGTGAGAATAACAATCGTATAGGTAAAGAACGTAAGGGCAAGACCATAAAGAGTTCCTTTAGGGATAGATCTACTTGGATTCTTAAGGTCGCCGGACATGCTCGTTCCACTGCAGAGTATCATGTTAGTAAAATTTAGATGTCAGAGGGGAGATTTCTAGAGGAGGCAGAACGAACGCAAATATTCCAGACGTTGCAGGGAAGAGAATCCCGAACAAGTCCTGAAAGTTTTCTCGTCTCTTAATCTGGCTCCCAGCAGCTCCTTTCGTAAGTTGTGGGTATAAATTATTGAAGAATGATAAGCTGCTGAAACCGGTGAATTCGATCCCTAGACGCTCATTTTTAAACGGCTGTTTGATACACGCCGATAGCGGAATGCTAAAGGTTGCTACCAGAAGGATGACGAGCAGCCCGTTACTGGCACGAGAGAAGACCGAGCTCCCTGCCAAACAGATCGCCGTGCAGAGGGTGAGGATAATGGTTGCCCAAAGGTACTCCCACCAGAAGCCCTCATAAAGAAAATTGGACTTGCTGCCCGAAACAACGCCAAAATTTTGCTTAAAGCAGTCAACTAAACCGACTGCGTTCATTCCTGTGTTCAAAACACAACCAAGGTAGAACACAAGGCCAATTGAGCCACCGAACTCGGTACCTAGAGAACGGCTGATCAGGTAATAAGCACCTCCACCTCTTACAGTTCCGTTGGTAGCAATTGCTGAAATTGACATGGTGGTTATCAAATCAATAGCGTATGATATGACAAGCATGGCTATCACCCTTCTTAGCATACGGTCACAGCCAAAAATACGTAAAAAAAAAAAAACTGAGAAAAAGGCATCAACTAACCCATCATGCCGAGGACACCGCTCTGACCCAGGACGAAACCAAAGCGAAGAAACATGAGGATACTGAGGACATTGAGAGTCGTTGGGACAAAAACTCCCGAGAAAGACCCCAGCTTTTGAGGCCCATTCCCCTCATCTTGGGCCAGCTTTTCTCTCTCATCTGGAAAGCCGAGCTTGGCGGCGGGTATAGGCCTGGCTAACGAAGCTCTCTGAAGTCGAGAAACGCTTCGGCTCCTGTGTCGAACGGCCCCATGGTGGTCGTCACTACTTGTTCCTCTCGCGCTACTGAGCACAGGTATTCTCCTAAAGAACGAGTTAGAGATGGCACTAAAGGACCCGGCGTTTTGTTTACATCTATGGATCTATGGGAGATAGGTATAATACTAACCAGCTGACTCCATGGCCTGATTCATGCGTACTATTCTCATCGTTGGCAGAGCCATTGGGTGGGCGGTTCATGGTTGATGGAGATATCCGTTTGCAACTTAGACACCCGGCAGGGTCTTTATGCAGCGGTCAGCAAGCACCCTTGTCAGACGCTTAGGCAAGCGACCTATCGAAACATGTCCCTGTTGATTTCGTTGAGCAGTACGTAAAAAAGCGCGCGCGTCTGTTTTCTTTCTCGCGTCAATATGTCAAGGCCGCAGTCTCTAAAAAGACCTGCCCGTTCACTGCTGCGAGGAGCTGAAACCTGACGTTGGCGACGTTCGACGTCTTCATCCCCAACTCAACTTTTGGCACCTTGAGAGGCGTCATAGCACGTGACCAGGCTAAGACAAGCTTCTGGACCAGGTACAAACCCTATTAATAAGCAGTTTGCTATACAAAACTCATCACATGACCTGATGTTCGCGCTAAATCCGCACGCGCTAACCGCTTCGGGGCCGCAGATCACATAAGCACTGCGTCATTGGCCGGCTCAGCCAATCAGCGCCCGGCTTATTCCGAACAAGCAACTTCTTCCCGCCTCCGACCTTTAAATCGTCACCGTCAGTCACGCCGACTTCGTCGCTGACAACGACGAGAGCTGCTGACCGTCGCTCAGCCTGCATATTTAAAAGGAACCACAGCCGTCTTCTCTCGCTCTTCTCGCAGGCGGAACCGGTCAGGCCAGGCTCACCAGGCACTCCTGTCCGACAAGTCGATTTTGGTACCAGCCAGCCCAAAAGTATCGGTCGCCCTCCCTCATTGCCGCAGTGTTACCTTAATACGCCCTTTTCGTTCCACCCTATATCCCATCCCACAGCAGTGTGCAGACGAGAGACGATCTCACATACTGATAGATGACTACGACACACGACGGCGAGATGCAACAGGGGAAAGATATACCGGCGGCGTCGACGCTGCGTGAAGAGTCACCTCGCGGCAGAGCTGTCAGCGGGACCTCTCCGGCGGAGGGCCTGGCTCCAGGATCCCTCCCGAGACACATCACCACTGCCAGGCTGGCCTCTCCCATCCCTTCGACGTCGTTCACAGAGGCAGCAGACCTGCAGCTGAAACGTGTGCCTACTCCTCGACAGGTAGCTCCGTCTGATGTCACTTCGGACTTCAAGCCTTCGTCCGTCGTGCCGTCCTCACTCGATGCCGCTCGCCCATCCGCACTGACAAGTGCCCTCCAGGAGGATAATGGTTCCAGCGGAGCCAATACCACGGCTTCCAACGGTGCACCCATAGAAGATCCTGAGGTCGTCAAACGACATCTGGTGCAGCCACCGGCCGACTCAGCCGCCGCCGTTGACACAAATGGTAAAAAGCCCGAGTCGACTAAATCCGGCGGAAGTGGAGCCAAAGAAGGAGAGGAGTTTTCCAGTTTACAGCTTCAGGGTGGTGATATCACTCGACCGATCTATAGATGGGCTGAAGCGGAGGCCCAGGAACAACAGGGCCCCAAGAGGCGAAAAAGCTTCGATCTCGCAAGGCCGGAGCCGGAAACTGAAATTTTGGATATCAACACAATCAGAGTTCCAGGTGGCTTCCGCCGAGACTTCCTGCGTCGAACCGGAGGAGAGCAGAACACTCTCACCGCCCCCGCAGATCCCGAACAAGCACTCGCTCAGCCCAAGTTAGCGACCAACAGCTTCTTGGAGTTTTTGACCTTGTTCGGCCATTTCGCTGGTGAGGAACTCCAGGAAGATGACGAAGTGCTGGGCCCTGGCGAGTTCTTTACCCGGAAGCCTGGTGTTGGAGAAGAGGAGCCCTCGGAAGAGACCTCCCTGCTTCGTCCAGGAAGTGCGGGAGGTCGTGTGCCCAAGGAACGAGCTGCCAAAGCTACAAACACCTCCATGGGTGCCATTCTCCTCTTGTTGAAATCCTTTGTTGGCACTGGTGTCCTCTTCCTTCCAAGAGCTTTCTTGAATGGCGGAATGATATTTAGTTCCATCGTACTCGTAGCTATTTCAGCCCTGAGCTATCTCTGTTTCATCCTTCTTGTCAACACCCGGAACAAGATCAATGGCTCCTTTGGTGACATGGGAGGAGTCCTATATGGAGATAAGATGAGGAAAGTCATCTTATTCTCCGTTGCTCTCAGCCAGCTTGGCTTCGTCGCCGCCTATATCGTCTTCGTCTCACAGAACCTCCAAGCCTTCATCGTGTCTGTCAGCAACTGTGAGACGTTTATGAGCATCCAATATGTCATTCTAATGCAGCTCGTCATCTTCCTTCCCCTCTCCCTTGTTCGTGACATTTCCAAGCTCGCCTTCACTGCCCTGATTGCGGATGTATTCATCTTGCTCGGGTTGGTCTACCTGTATGGATTTGGAATTAGCACCATTATGGAACGAGGCGTTGCCGACATCCAGCCATTCAACCCCAAATCCTATACCCTTCTCATCGGAACTGCCATCTTCACCTTCGAAGGAATTGGTCTCATTATCCCCATCCAAGAGTCCATGAAGCGTCCTGACAAGTTCCCCGCTGCTCTAGCCCTCGTCATGGTCATTATCACCGTAATCTTCCTGTCCATGGGAGTTGTTGGCTACGCCACCTTTGGCTCCAAGACCGAGACCGTTGTCATCCTTAATCTCCCACAGCAGGATAACTTTGTCAGGACAATTCAGTTCCTATATGCTGCTGCTATTCTACTCAGCACTCCCCTTCAGCTTTTCCCGGCAATCAGGATTTTGGAGAATGGCCTCTTTACCCGTAGCGGCAAATACAACCCCGGAATCAAATGGAAGAAGAACATTTTCCGCTTCTTCCTTGTTTTGGTTTGCGCTGCCATTGCCTGGGGCGGAGCTGCAGACTTGGACAAGTTCGTCTCCCTCATTGGTAGCTTCGCATGTGTCCCCCTCGTCTTCGTCTATCCGGTATGTCCTCCCCATCCCTCCTATCCACCCTACCTGCGAAGTGAAACTAAAATTGATTTTTTCCAGCCGTTACTTCACTACAAGGGCGTGGCAACCACCTATCTACAAAAGACTGTAGACATCTGTCTCGTCATTTTTGGAATAATATGCTGCGTTTATACTACCGCCCTAGCCATTTCTAACTGGGGAGATGGCGGTGGTGGCGCCAAACTCCCCGGATTCTGCAACAAATAGTCCTTTTGCGTTTTTGGCCTTTCAAGCGCCCCTTATCCATAAATGTCAGCGTTTTATTTTTCCTATCACTCTCGAGGATCACATTTCGGTTGCACTATTACAAGGCTTTGGATTTTGGTAAATTGCATTCTCACCTCCCTCCATTCGAGTCGTACATAACCATTTTCATTGCTTATATGGCATAGATTCTGTCTACTACTAACCGCTAACTAAACCATTTCCCCATACTTCCCTTGTCACCTTTGCTAAATTGTTGTCTTCTTTCCTTGTTTCCTTTAGTCCCCTTTCTCGACTCCCCGCATCTAATTCTTGGTTCTCCGCTTGGACTACGCTGGTTTAGATGTGCTTGATATTTTCATAATTCCTATTTTTCGGTCGGTCTTCCAGGAGAGTTAAATACGCGGGTAGTTTTGATAGATACCCGATGTATGCGGCCTAGCAATATCAACATTGATTTTTTTTCCCGTATATCTCTTTCCAATATATGTTCACTTTGTAAGGCATAATATTTCCACATAACACTTGCACCCGTGAAAATTAATTCAAGTCCATCCAAACATATTAGCCCAATCTTGGTTACCAGGCCATTTTCACTTATTGAATGTAGAAATAACTGCAATAATTCCTCAACTGCGCTCCAATCCTGGGAAAAAGAAGAAAAATAAATATCTTTATTAAAACAAATGACCAAATATAACAAACCAAGCCGTGTATGCCTAATACGTACAATCCGATTGAGTCCGGCGCAGCAAATATATGCCAATGAAGGAGGGAAGGAAGGAAGGCAGGAGTAACTGACAAAGCCACCAAGCGCGTCTATGAAGAAGAGCTAGGTTCAGCAGCTACCTTTCCTGCTTCGGCACCGGCATCCTTAGCCTGGTTGGCGAGAGCAGCTTCTCGTCCTCCCCATCTAAAATGCGAAAAGAGGAGCAGTTAGTTCGGGTCAATGAAAGAGAATGCAGAAGGATAAACGAGGAAATATAAAATAAAACGTACTTCCAGTAGTTCACCCATCGGTATCCCTGAGTCAATTGGGCTCCGAAGTTGATCAAATGGCAGCCGAAAAGAAGGTAGTTCTTGGGAGTGACAGCGAGAGAATAACGCATGAAGGTTCCAGAATAGATAACCAATGCACCAGTCATTTGCGCGGAGATACTATATTAAAAGAAAAATAGTTGGTTAGATGTGTTACGGTCGTGGATTGGCATGTACGGGGGTAATGCGAAGATAGCCGCTCGACGTGACAGGGCCGGTAAGTCCGGTATCAGATGGTGAACGAAGAAGTAGAATGTGCGCCAGTGACATACATCTCAGGATCTTTCTGAGTGTCCATAACCGCAGCGACCGGAATACCGAAGTTGGATACGGGGCCCCAGAAATCTATAGAGAGGTAGCCCCATGTTAGCACCTGGCCCATAACTGAGACAAGACAAATAAGACCGCATATGGGGTTAGATAGGGAGCCACAAGTCGGCCATCATCAAGTAATAACACGTCCAGGGAGGCTATCTGAGAAAGAAGACGGTAAAAACGTACGCGTTGAGCAGACATAGTCCAACACCTTGTTAGACCGTATCTTTGCATTGATGGCTTTGATGGCGGCGGCCATTGTGAGCGGTGGTTGTCTGAAAACTTCGAGGAGAGGAAGCAAGTCCGGCAGCTATGCTGATTGCTCTCTGGCAGTCGACGGCAGAGGAGCAGAGATGTGTCCTTGGATATAGCTACTCGGTAGTCCTCTGGATGTGTTTTCTCTGCTGCGTTGATGTTGTTGCTCAACCAAAAGAAAAAGCTCCGACTTCCGGAGTGAAGATATGACCAGTCACGTGAGACAGCTTTGGCCCATGGGTGAGACGGCGTGAAAGGAGGCTCTTTGATGATATCTATATACTGTACGAAGTAGAGAGAGAATAATAGGAAGGAGTAGATTATCTTTGACAGTATATAACTAGCAGGAGTAATATTCTCAAACTACTGCCTCAAGAATAGGAGGTCCTTTAGCTGTCCATTTCACCGATACCACCAAACGCCATGGGAGAAAGGAAAATGCGAGAAGGGAACAAATAGTCTGTCATCATTGATTTTGAGCAAGGGAATCATGCAAGTAGGTATTTCCCCTCGGCTGTCAAAACAGTCTGCGTTTCGTAACTCCAAAAAGCGCTGATATCATCGTCCGCCCATGCCAGGTGGGAAGCCTCTCCCTTGACCCGGAGGCTGGAAGCCGGGTGGTGGTCCAAATCCGGCTATAGACTCAGTCAGTAAAATGCAAATAAAATGCACAAGGTAAGAGCAAAACGTACGTGGTCCTCCAGGAGGGCCGCCTCGACCTCCAAAACCAGGAGGAGGGCCACCAGGGAATCCTGCCGGCGGTGGGAATGCGCCAAACCCAGCAGGTGGTGGTGGTCCTCCAACGCCAGCAGCTGGTCCACCGAGTCCAACGGGCAGCCCTCGTCCGGCGGGTTTGCTAATTCCAGGCCCAGCAGCCAGCGTGGCAGAGACACCTGCAAGGCCGGCAGCAGTTGTTCCTAATCTAGCGGCTGGCTCTGCGGGCGGTGGGCCATCTACCGAACATGACACAACATGTGTTCCGCGTACAATTGTAAGCCCAAGCGTTCGTTTCTCTTCTGCCTCGACCAACTGAGTAGTGCTGCTGCTGCCAGGTGCAGCCTGCCCGCCCTTGCCGGACTTCTTCTTTACTCGGCGGAACTCTTCAGTATCTGCGAGAACGAGGTTCATGTGCTGGTACACACAGTTAGCAGGTCCTCGTGCTATATGTTAAACTTTCCTTCAGGTTATCTGCTATCGTTACCTTATCGAATGCAAGCATTTGGCCCGTCATCTGTCGTCCATCGGTCAAAGTGACCCTCATCCTATAATTGATCTAGCCCGCGCGTCAGCTAGTGCCCGGCGACCACCGCAAAGCAAATGAACAGAACTCCGTAGAGAAAGCATCAAGGATAAGTCATACGAGATTTTGCTAAAAAGACGTGTCAGCGATCCTATCTTGCTATCAACCAAGCTGTAGCTCTCGTGAACTCACCATCTTCCCCTGCTTGTTTGAAGCCATGCTGCCTCAGGTGCGCACGAATGCGACTTTTCGACCAGGCCCGAAAGTTTTCACGAAATCGCCTAGCTCCAACGACCCTATATATTAAGCACAGCAGCAACCAGAAGCCCGGTTGTGAGGAATATCAAACTGTTCTATCGCGGTCTCTCATCTTTGCTGCAACTTTTGATCTTTTGGCGTTGAAGATGCAGTCGTGCCCGTTTGGGTTTAGCGCCAACGCCAAGCCCGCGTAGGGTTTTTGTCACTTTCGCGCACACAAAAAACACTTTTTGCGACTTTCAACAACTTCGACTTTCTTCTCGCGCAGCCAGAACGCACAGCAGCAGCAGCAACACTCACAATGGTACGATACCAGGCCCAGTCGACGCTCTTTACAGTGATATTTTGCTAACGATGGCGCAGGCCGAGGGAAACGACAAATCTTCGAACCCCATGCGGGAACTCCGCATCCAGAAGCTCGTCCTGAACATCTCCGTCGGCGAGTCTGGTGACAGACTGACCCGTGCAGCCAAGGTGTTGGAACAGCTGAGCGGTCAAACCCCAGTCTACAGTACGGCTACCTCCCTAGAATCGGTTGAAACAGTGGCAGAGACGACGTTGTGAAGCTGGGAAATGAAGAAAACGCACGACGGAAGCTAACAAGCGAGTTCTGCACAATAGGCAAGGCCCGATACACTGTCCGTACTTTCGGTATCCGACGTAACGAAAAGATTGCTGTCCACGTTACCGTCCGTGGCCCCAAGGCTGAGGAGATCCTTGAGCGTGGTCTTAAGGTCAAGGAATATGAATTGAGGAAGAAGAACTTCTCTGAGACTGGTAACTTTGGATTCGGTATCAACGAGCACATCGACTTGGGCATCAAGTATGACCCTGGTATCGGTATCTACGGAATGGACTTCTACTGCTGCATGTGAGTGATGACTTACGCACAAATGTCAAAATCTTTTTGAATAGATTGCTGATCTTTGACTCTATTAGGACCCGTCCTGGTGAGCGTATCGCTAAGCGCCGACGATGCAAGTCCAAGATCGGTGCTCCCCACCGTATCAACCAGACCGAGACCATCAAGTGGTTCAAGAGCAGATTCGAGGGAATTGTCCGATAAATCAATCACATCAAAATTCAAAATCAAATATTCCCACCGTTCACCTCTCCTCCATCTTGACCTCTTTTCTAATACCGCGCCCTAAGCGACATTCACGCTGCAGGGAATGTTCCCATCCCACCCCGCCCCTTGCAGTTTGATTTCACTCGCGAAACGAAACCTCTCTTTGCTTGTTGTGCATTGTCATTGGGAAGCCATGGTGGGACGGGTTGTTTTTTAAAGAAAAATGACAGGCGTGTTCTAGGGGCATTTCTTCCAAGGAAGACTCAGCAACAGCAAGCAAGTATGATACGAAATGCAGCAATAAAATTCACATTTCAAAATTGGCTCTTTCCCCTTGTTTCACAATGGAGGCTTCACATAGGGTGTTGTTCCGCTTAACCATTGATGAGAGGGTTTTTGGCGTCTAGCCATATCTTTTCTGGGGCGAGAGACGGTCTTCGTTTCCCGTCCCAGGCGGCCTTTAGCTCGTTTGCTACTATGCTCCTCATAGGATGCCATAGTGGTGATGCTATCCATTTCCCCTTCTCGTAGGCACACATTGTAATAATAACTGCCAAACCACATGTCACAAGGTAAGATTATGCTGTCGTTATAGTTATTCGTAAGTATAGAAAAGCAGACTAGGTATGAGACTACAACAAACGACCGGCCAATTTCCACTCAAAGCACAGCACAACAACAACAAATATCTCAAAAATACTCGCTATTTGGGTCAGCTTTTGTCAAGCATTGCCACCTTCAGCCTCAAGTTTGGAGCACAAGCACCTATCACTTGTTCTTAGGAGGAGCGCGGTGCTCTCCTTTGACAAAGCTATAAACCATACAATCAGTCAACAACATCCAATACACCAAACCTGTTAGTTTGATATAGATCAGCAACTTACTTATCCCACCAACGGCTGAGGAATCCCCTCTCATCAGGCCGGGAATTCGCAGACTGCTCCCTCCAGCTTTCCCGCCTACTAGCAAAGAGCGGATCTTCCGACGTTCGCTTCTGCGTCATTAGCCCAGCATAGCTACTGTCAGAATGCGAGCTTCTTCTCTTTGAAGTATCCCGCTCCTGCCCTGCGCCGGATTCAGACGACATCGAACTTGAACGCTCTTTGGCCATGAAGGGGAACAGATTCGACGCTACACCGGCAGGCTGAGTCGTCTGCGGGTTGGACGTGGTAGATGAGATCGAGCCGGATCTGTCCGGTACAATGCCAGTGACAGATGGGATGCTGGCAGCGTTTGATGCCTAGTATCATGACGTTAGCATGCCCTCTTCAGCTGCAGGCGATGTATCTAGATGGGCTTTACCTGTCGTAACTCTTCATTCGCGACCTCCGATGAGACAGAGGGCCGGCGAGGGTGATAGAAGTAGGGAGTTCCGCCCCTAACCCATACAGGTGGACGATCAGGGCGGTCACTCATTATCTTCTGCTGGTAAATACTCGGTATGCAGGTCTCGATGGTTGATATTCGTACAGCCGAGTGTACTATCCCAAAGCCATAGTTATAAACTGAATGAAAAGGGCGGGGGAATCGCCTTCTGGCTTGCTGCTCCTTTTTAAACTTATTTGCCCCCTCATCGACCAAGGCAAAGCCCGGCTGGATTCAGGGTCGACGGTCGAGGGTCGATCCAGGACAGGTCGAAGCTCTTGCTGTGGTATTAGGCCGGTAGAAGGTTGGTACTTTGCGGCGATCAGTATGTTACCACCAGCGTCTGTACTGCACCAAGGATGCCATGAAGGGGCTGGAACTAACATACAGAGCAGCTAGGAGAAAGATAGACGGCTAAACACCGTCATCTGCTCTAGGTAGGCCATAGAGAAGCGTGCTGGCTCGTCTTGTTATACTTGTCGTTGATGTAGGAGGTACACTTTGTGCATGCGAGGTCAAGCCACACACACGGGCGTTATGATGTCACACTGCTGGATGCATCTCTGATTGGCACATCCTATGAGCGAACATCCATGCTAGTAACTATGTCCTCGAACTATCCAAGTGGATGGTGTTTTAACTTCATTGTTTAACAGCATAAAAGGCAGGTTTCGTTAAAAGAGGTTCTTCTATTATAGAGAAAGTAATCTGGGACAGCATGGGCAGGGCCATATAGTTATAGATAAGGGACATAAAAACAACATCATATACATCAGGGGACGACGGACACAACTTTTCCTTTTTTTTAAGAAGCTTTGGTCATTTTACAGATGAGGTCCTGGCCGTCGACAGAATCTCCCTCCTTGACATGTAGACTAGCAATCTTTCCGTGGTGAGGCGCAGAGATGACCATTTCCTAAATCACAAGCAAGGTTAGCATTCACAATTACTACAGTAGTAAAAAGGGGGCAAGACGAGTGCAAGAACATACCATCTTCATGGCGCTGAGAACAGCAATTGGGTCTCCCTTCTTCACCTCAACACCCTCATGGGCTCGGATTTCAACTACGACACCACTCATTGGCGCACCAACCTGGCTGCTGTCACTAGCATCGGCCTTGGGGCGGCTGGTGTCGTCAACGGTAGCAAGAACATCATCTACGGAAACCTGTCGGACTTCACCGTTCATCTCGTAGAAGACCTCTCGCTGACCGGTCTGCTCGGACAGAGGACCCACAGCCAACAGTTTCAGGATAAGCACCTTTCCTTGCTCGAGCTCAACGCTGAATTCTTCACCGATCTCAGGTCTGGCAAGGAAGTATTTCGTTGGCAGAACGGAAAGGTCACCGTACTTGGCTACGAACTTGCGGTAGTCCTGGTAGACCTTGGGGTACATGGCGTAACTGGCAACATCGCACTCGGTAGCACTGCCGAATTTCTCTTTGATCTCGGCCTTGATCTTGACTAGGTCAAGAGGCTCCAGGTGGAGGCCAGGACGGTCCGAAAGCTTTCGGCGGTCACGAAGAGCCTTGGAGCGGAGAGGTTCAGGGAATCCACCGTAGGGTTGACCCATGAGACCCTCCAGGAACTCGAGGACGGAGGCGGGGAAGTCAAGCTCACCGGCGCGGGCAACGACGTCGTCTGGGCTTAGCTTGTTGGAGACCATGAACTGAGCTAGATCACCAACGACCTTGGAGGTAGGGGTGACCTTGACGATGTCTCCAAGGAGATCGTTGGCTTGTTCATAAGCCTTCTTGGTCTCGAGCCATTGAGCACCGAGGCCAAGCTGGTGGGCCTGGAAAATGAGGTTGGTAAGCTGACCACCGGGGATTTCGTGCTCGTAGACCTCTGGGTCGGGTCCAGCGAGGCCAGCCTCGAAGGGCGAGTAGAGGAGACGGAGCTGGGCCCAGTAGGTGTCGATGGCGCGGACATTGGGGATGTCGAGCTTGGGGTCCTGGTCGGTGCCCTGGAGCGAGGCAAGGATGGCGCCTACGCTGGGCTGGGAGGTCATGCCGGACATGCTGTCGGTGGCAGCGTCAACGGCATCAGCGCCTGCTTGGGCACAGGCAACCATGGAGGCAACACCGGTACCGGCGGAGTCGTGAGTGTGGACGTGGATGGGGAGGTCAGGGTACTTCTTCCTGATGCTTCCGATGAGCAAGGTGGCAGCCTGGGGCTTGAGGACACCAGCCATATCCTTGATACAGAGGATGTGAGTGCCGAGGGCTACTATCTTGTCGGCCAGATCGAGGTAGTAGTCCAAGTTATACTTCTTCTTGGGGTTAAGCATGTCTCCCGAGTAGCAGATAGTGGCTTCGATAACACCACCGGCGGCGGCTACGGCCTTCATACCAACCTCAAGCTGGTTGACGTCGTTGAGGGCGTCGAAGACACGGAAGATATCAACACCATACTTCTTTGCCTGCTTGCAGAAGTGGTAAATGGCATTGTCAGGGAGGCTAAAAGCGGAAATTCATATCAGCAGATTGTTCAGTGAAAGAGGGGGGAGGAAAAGAACTTACGAAGAGTATGCAACACCGTTGGCACCACGAAGCAGCATCTGGAATGGGATGTTGGGAACCACCTTTCTCATCTTTCTCAGTCTGTCCCAGGGGTCTTCGTACAAGAATCTCATGGAGACGTCAAAGGTAGCACCACCCCAGCACTCCAGACTGTATGCGTTTCTGAAGGCATAGCTGGTTTCCTTGCCAATGTTGATCAAGTCAACGGTACGGACTCTGGTGGCCAGCAGAGACTGGTGGGCGTCACGCCAGGTAGTGTCCATAATGAGACATCCCTTGTTCTCACGGACAGCCTTTGCAAAGGCAACGGGACCCTTTTCGTCGATGATCCTCTTCCATCCCTCCTTGCAAGGGGAGCTGATGTCGAGTGGTTTGCCATCGGCATCACGCATTATGGGCATCAAGATATTGCCCTTGAACTTGGGTTCACATGGTCACCCTTGATGCTGCTTCCGTTGACGGCAACATCACCAAGGTACGCAAGCAGTTTCTGGGCACGGTTCTGAGAGCCAATGAGGGAGAATAGTTCTGGGGTATCGTCGATGAAGGTGGTCCAGCACTGGCTGTCGATGAAGGTAGGGTGAGTGAGCAGCGAGGCCAAGAATGGGATGTTTGTCTTGACGCCACGGATGCGGAACTCGACGAGAGCACGAAGCATCTTTCGGCGTGCGACTTCGTATGTGGAACCATGGCAGGTACATTTGACCAACATGGAGTCGTAGTGGGGGGTGATGATGGCGCCGGCAAAGCCGTTACCACCGTCGAGACGGACACCGTTACCACCTGCAGAGCGGTAGACTTCGATCTTGCCGGTATCTGGCTGGAAGCCCTTCGTGGGGTCCTCGGTGGTGATACGGCATTGGATGGCAAATCCTCTGATGGAGATGCGGTCCTGGGTGAGGCCGAGCTGTTCGAGGGTAGCACCAGCAGCGATCTGGATCTGGGCAGCAACGATATCGATACCGGTGATCTCCTCGGTGATGGTGTGCTCGACCTGGATACGGGGGTTGATCTCGATGAAGTAGTATCTGTTCTGCTGGTCGACAAGGAACTCTGCGGTACCGGCATTGCGGTAGTTTACATGTTTGGCGAGCTTGACGGCGTCGGCGAGAATGTTGTCACGGACGTCGATGGGGAGATCCTTGGCCGGAGCAAGCTCGACGACCTTTTGGTGACGGCGCTGGACACTGCAGTCACGCTCGTATAGGTGAACAACGTTGCCGTGGTTGTCTCCGAGCAGCTGGACCTCGATGTGCTTTGGCTTGTCGAGGAAGCGTTCTACGAAGACGGTGCCGTTGCCAAAGGCAGTCTTGGCCTCGGAGGTGGCACGCTCAAAGGAGTCACGCAGCGACTCCTGGTCGCGGACGACACGCATGCCTCTGCCACCGCCGCCAAAGGCAGCCTTGATGATGATGGGGAAGCCGTACTCGTCGGTGAAGGACTTGACGGCCTCGAAGGTCTCGACGGGGCCGGGGGTGCCGGGCACGACGGGGACCTTGCACTCCATGGCGATGGTTCGGGCAGAGACCTTGTCACCGAGTCTGTCGATGGTGTCGGGCGTGGGACCGACGAAGACCATGCCGGCCTTCTCGACGGCGCGGGCAAACTCAGCATTCTCGGACAAGAAGCCGTAGCCCGGGTGGATGAGATGGACGCCGTGCTGCGAGGCGATGTTGACGATCTCCTGGCCGGCCAGGTAGGCAGCGACGGGTGTGTACTGGCCACGCTTACCGATCTGGTAGGCCTCGTCGGCCTTTTGGCGGTGCATGCTGAGCCGGTCCTCGTAGCTGAAGACGGCGACGGTCTGTAGGGAGAGCTCGTGGGCTGTGCGGAAGATGCGGATGGGGATCTCTCCTCTGTTGGCGACGAGGATCTTCTGGAACTGCATGATGGAGGAATTGGCCCGGAGCCGGCTGTGGACGGAGTCCTGGAAGTTGGACGGGTGGTGGTCTTCCATGACATCGTCCTCGACGGCGTCCTCGCGGACAGCCGTGACATTGACGTCTGGCATTGGTACAGGAGCTGGCGCCATGCTGTATGTATGTATGTAGAGAGAGAGGTGTATGTATATAGACGAGTATCAACGGGGGTATCAGGTGTCAGCGGGAGATGGCGAGTCCTGATATCACGCCGCGATCTATATAGATAGACTCTGGCTCTCCGGGTCTTGATGCTCCTTTTCTTTCGTCTGTCTCGGTCGTTGTGATACAAGATGACTCTCCTACAGCCGCAGTCAGCATTGATCTCGATCTCTCTCTCGCTATCCCTCGATCCCTCTCTGTGCCTGTCTTTTATAGAGCGTGAAGCCGCGGCATCGGCCTGGCGGAGGGGCGGGTGGGGCAGAGGGAGAGAGGAATATGTTCACAGCCATTGACGGCCACCACGACAGCCGCCAGCAGCACCAGACAGACAGAGAGACAAGAGACGGCGGACGACGTACCTGGAAGACGACCTCGCGCGAGGCAGCAAAAGAGCAGCAAAGGTGGGCGATGCTGGTGTTTCTGTCTTTCTCGACGTCGCCCGCGGCCTTTTTCTTTTATAGTCGCGCAAGCAACCAAGAGCAACACTTGATTAACACTTGATTCGACGCTAAGAAAGAAAAAGAACTTTTGCTTTTTGCCCCGCAAGGTTTGTTTTTTTTTTCCTTTTTGCTTTTTTCTGGTTGGCTCGCGTTAATTATTCTCCGCTCACGTGGTTTCTCTCCACATGACCTGCTGGTTTTTACCGAGAAGTAAGACGAAGTAGAAGAAGATAAAATAGATAGATAGAGATGGAGATAGATAGATAGGAAGAGGAAGAGTAAGATGTCAAGAGATAGGGATGGTGAGGCGAGGTGAGTCTATATGTGATAAGTACACGGCTCACGGCTGCCGGTTCATGCTCTGGCTACGGCAATTCCCCGTCGGAAAGCCACCCATGCTCCTCGGATTCTTTCCACCTGAAACCAGACGAGAGATGACAAGACGACGACGACGACGGAGCAGAAGAAAGCAGAAGAAGCAGCAGCAGAAGAGGAGGAGAGGAAAAAGAAAAGAGACATCATCTGGTTCACTCGATGTCCACTTGGTCTCGCTCGCTCGACATGGACCAGCCTTCCATCGGCTTCTTTTTCTTTGACTAATGACGCCTGCCCAGTTACTTGCCTGGCTCCCTCCCCAGTAAGTTAGGTGACGATGCCAGACTCGGCTGAGCCATTTTTACTTGGTAGCTCGTTTCGTTGCTTGCTTGTCATCCGTAAGCTGGGAGCGTCTGGCCGGAGCAGCTTATATTTACATGCAGTGAGACAGTCAGGTAAACGGGAAGAGAAGCTTTTTCTCTCTCATGCATTTGGGAGTCGTTGCTTTTGCTTTTTCCGGCCTTTTCCCATCCAGACGTTATTCTTCTTTTCTTTTCCTCCTCGTCTTCTGCCTTTTCAACCCCTGATGGAGGAGGATATCTCGTTTAGCCGAGGATAAACCAGTTTGGTCAAGGAAGAGATGGGCCGGCTGGCTAGCTGGCTGGCTGGCGTTGGGGAGAGCTTATACTTCCGGAGTAGAGTGTTATATAGATACGCCGGAGCAGATCTTGCAGATGGCTGACCGGCCTGCTGCGTATTGGGGACGCTCCGACTGGCTGCGGAAAGAGGACGTGTGTCTGTCTGCCTGAGTTGTACGACACTCGACATAAGTACATCACGCAGGACAGTCAACTACTCTCTTTTGTCCCTTTCCCAAAAAGAGGGACTTATACAGGCACGGCAGATTTACAGCTACTGGTAGAAGCGTAGGATAGGCACGGAGAGAGGGACTGAAGTGGAACAGAAAACAAATATCTCGTATCAAATACACATGATGAAGGGAGAAAAAGGGGACATGACGGCAACAAGTGTAAGTAAGTAAAAAAAAAAAGAGGTAGGAACCGGGAGCCGGAAGCCGATGCCGAAGCCGATGCCGAAGCCGATGCCGGACCAGAAGGGAATAAGGGAAGAAGGCATTATTAGTTTAGATATGTCTGTCTGTCTGTTGGCTTTGTTTTTTGTTTTTTCTTTTTAAAAGGGCATTGCTGGAGGAGAATTCAAGGGGACAGACAGAAATAACAAAAGAAACAGGAGAGAAGAGAACAACAAAAAGCAAAGGTATCTTCTTCCACCCTCCCATGTTTTTTCCCCCACAACTCTCATAATCCCAGACGGAGATATAAAAAAAGAAGAAGACGAAGAAGAAGAAAATGTGCGTAGTATAGAAGAAGAAAAAAAAAGGGAGGTTGCCGGAAGTTGGATATCAAGACCACCTGAGTTGAGTTACCGATAAGGCATAACTGATAACAAAAAGAAAAGCCACCGTCGATAGATACCTGGGCCCCGGTTTGTTTTTTGTTTTTTCCTTCATTTTTTTCTTTTCTTTCTCTCATTGATGATCTCATTGCATGAATCGCGGAGTCCTCGTATGGTGCTTTATTCTTATTTCTTCGTCATCCTCATCCCGTCGTCTTTGTCCTTCTAGTCTTTCTTTCTTTTTTCCCCCCCTTCTAGTTTGGTTATGCTCCTTAAAATGGCCGGAAGCCGGTTGGCTGGGGAGTTATGCCGTTGGTCTGCTGTCCGCCGAACATCGACGGAGCACCTCCTCCCATCGAGCCGCCGCTGGGGCCTTGCGTCAACATCAGTCTCGAGCCTCCGAGGATGGGCGTGTTGTCCTCCTCCTTCTGTTGGGAGGCTTCCTTTGCCTTGCGCTCCTCGTTGTCCTTCTTCAGCATCTCAATGGTCTGCACTTGCTGGCTCAGCATGTTGATCATGTACGGCATAGTGAAGTCGTGGAGGCCGTGGCGCCACGACATCTCCAGCACCACATCCGGGCGGATGAGCTCGTAGCAGGCGTATAGCATGCCCACGTAGCACTCGCGGCTGCCAATGTCGACGAACTATCACATTATCATAACCATTAGCAAGGACATATTCCCACACATAAAACAGATATAGTACATTAATACTGGTAAAGGGGGTACTTACGTAGCGTAGCAGCTCCTCGACAACCTCGGACTTGCCAGAGATCGCGGCAGTCTCGATAGCATCCTTGAACAGCTTATCCTGTTTCGAGAGCGCAATGGACTTCTCCCATCGCTTGTTCTTGCGGTAGATGTTGGCAGCAATCTGTCGGAAGAATACAAGCTCGTGCTTCTCCAGCCTCTGCGCCAGGTCGACGGGATCGTAGTTGTCATGGTTCTCAACAGAGTCTCTCAGAGTCTTGTGGTCCTCTTCTTCTATCAACAGGTCGTTGATGGCGTTGTTGACTGCTCGCTTGTTCTGTGGCTGCACGTTCAGGAGGAAGGGCTTGATCAGGGGGATGTTGTCCGACTTCTCGAACATACGGACTACCCGGTTGACGTCGATACGGGGAGTAAGGACTTGGAGCAGGTCCGTCAGCAGCAGGGGTTGTTCTTGCAGATAAAAGTTCAAGGCGCGGTAGTAGATCTCCAGGTTGGCAACCTTAACAACAATATCCTTGAAGGAGTGGTGCTCCCACGAATCGGCTGCTCGCTCCATCATGGCTAGTGCCGCGTTATCCCATTCGTCGTAGTGGCAGTAGAGGAACACTAGCTCGGGCCACAGGTTGGCATCCTCGCACGCACGGATCATCTTCGGGATGTTGATTCGGGTCCAGAACAGCTTGAGGTGCTCCATCACACGGTCTGGGTGGTACTTCGACAGGGCAATTCCCAGCTCAGTGAACATACCCATGTGGGCTCTCTCAAGACCAAGACCGGCCTCAAGCAGAGCAATGAGCTCATCAAAGTATCCGTTACGCTCATACTGACGAACCAAGTCCTGCAGCTCCTCCGCATGCACGATCAGGTTCAAACCGCAGATCTGGGCAAGCCGGAATTCCTTCTTAGCTACACAGGCAGCGTTCACCTCCTTCCAGACCTTGACACTGTTGCCCTTGCGAGCACACTCAACAGCAGCTTGGTAGTCCTCGAGATGGACAAGTGTAGTTGCCAGTTTTGCCCAGTTGGAGATGCTGGTGAAGAAAATCTTGGCTGCTTGATGGTATCCCTCAGCATAGGCCTTGTCACCAGAAGCTTCAACATCAGCAACGTTGATTCCACGGAGGAAATCGTCAAGCTCAGAGAGCTTGTCGAGTCTGGCAAAGCTGAAGGCCATGGCAGTGTCAACGGCAGGCTCTCGTAGAGTCTTGCGGGCCATCTTAAGATATTCAATAAGATCCTCATCCTTGCCGGCATGGGTAGCGGTCTCGATAACTTCATTGTAGTTCGAAGGGTCTCCGGCACGGATGTATGAAGCGATAGAGTCGGAGATGCGAAGGCCGTCCAACTGAGCTTTGGCAACCTTGCTCCAAACTTCAGGAAGCTCAACACGCTCGGCATAGTCTTGGGCACGATCGATGCTGACAATATGTTCCACAAGAACGTTGGTAGCAGCTGGGTGGTTCTCAACTTTCTTGTAGATCTCAAAGGCTTCTTCGTACAGGCCAACAGACAGACACATTCCCGCAATCTCATCAGCATTAAACTCGGTAAGCTTGTGGATGTAGTCCATCAGCTTGCTCTTATCGGCCTTGGCAGCAGTAAGCATCAGCAAGTTCTGCAAGCTACTGTTATCGCTGAAGGGAGATGGCTCAAGGATAATCTTCTCCAGAAGCTCGATGAGTTCTGTTGGCAAGTCTGCCTCGAGGAAGGCCTTAACTGCTACCGATACCTTGTCTGGCTCAGAAGACTCTGGGACGGCAGTGGCAATAACCTGGTCAACGAGGGATCGTCTGTGGATGTTGTTTCCGTTCAAAACGAAGGCCCAGATTTCACTATCAGCGCGTTCAAGCAAATACCTGGCTTGAGCACGGTACATCGAGTTTTCATTGGTGATATTGATAAGCTCGAGGTCGTTCTGACCCTTGCGGTATGCAATGTAGGCAAGGTTAGGGTCTCGCTTCTCACAGTACTTTCCGACGGTAAGGGTATCGTAAAGGTCGTTCTCCTTGAGGAACTTCTCAGGATTGTTGTTGCTGTCAATGTATATCTTAGCAAGGGCATTGTACACCGCTTGCTGCTGGTTGCCAGTGCTGAGGGTATTCTCAAGGAATGGCAAAAGAATCTTCAGTCTGTTTCTCTTCTCAACTTCAGCGACAAGTTCGTCAATTGGAATAGAAGCTGGGTCAACTGTGGTGAGAAGGTTTTTGATGATTGACTCATCACAGTCAACATCAAGCAAGCCGCCGACAACAGCGGGAGTTCTGGATGGGTTGACTCTCTGCACATAAACCTCGATAGAGGAATACTGCTGGTTCTGGTAAAGATACAGAACTAGGTCATGGACAAAGTTGAATCGATCGCAGACAGTGATCAGAGGTAGCTGCTCGGCAAGCTTGGCTTCCTTGAGGAAATTCTTGACCTTCTCAGGGTTGTAGTAGTTGCTGTCTCGGCAAATACGCTCGACTTCGGTCATCTGTCCCATGCGAGTAGCGGCCTCGATGTACTTGAAGTGAACATCAGCATCTTCGCTAAGGTTGACGATGCTGCCAAGGTAGTAGTATAGACCTTCGTGGGTTTTGTACTTCTCGAGCAGCTGGATGAGGTTGGTAGGGCCCAGGAGATCAGAAAATTTGGTAGCAATTTGAATGACAGCTTGAAGGTTCTGGCGGAGGTTTGAGTGAAGCATCTCGTTCATACATTCTAGGGACTGCTCCACAGAAAGGCGGCCAAAGAACTCTATCAGCCATTCGGGGTTCAGCTTGTCAGTGCGGACAATGTTGCGCATGATGACGGTAGAATCATCAGTGTTCTCGAGCGCACGCTGGTACAGTCCTGCGTTCTCACAAAGCTGCGAGATCCTAACTTTGTCGTAGTGAGTGAACATCTCGTTACCCAGGATAGCATCAGCGACCTGAGGAGCATTGACAAGGTTCATCTCTAGGAGCCTGGTCTGAAGCTTAGCATGTTCTGGCTTATTATCCTTAAGAGCATCCAACAAGAATGCAGTGGCTTGCTGGATCATGTTCTGGGAGACAAATACATCGACAACACGGTCAAGGTCAACAAGCGCGCCGCTATCATCGTTGGCAAGCTGACCGGCAAACTCAGCACACTTCTCTGGGTTGACTCGGACAATATGCTGCAAGAGCTGGACGTAGTCAGGCTGATAACCGACTTGCTTAGAGTAAGCCAGGATCTTGTCGAATTGACCAGTCTCTGCAAAGCCAGCAACAACCTTGTGAGGAACATTGGCTTTGAGGTAGATGTTCAAGGCAATGTTCATATCGTGTGGTCGAACGATGTCACCTAGCTCCTCGGAGCACTCCAGCTTATCTTCGCCCAGCCACTTCTCAAGCAGGTGTTTTCGGTTTTGCTGCAAAACTGGTCTGGTCAACTCAACACTCTCGTATACGTTTAGAGATCCCTTGTCGAGGAGCATTCCAAAGTACTGAAGGATGACAGACATGCCCTGACCAGACTGAGAGACAGCCTTTAGGCGGTTGATAGTGTCCGCAGTTCGCAGGAACCCACGAGGCGAATTGGCAGCGATCTTGGCAGCCTCTGCATAGTTTCCTTGAGTTAGGAGTTGTTCAAACTGTCTCTGGAGGAGATTATCTGCACCCGGAAGGCCAGCCTTGGATGCAAGTTTAACAGCCAGAGACGTGTTTGCTGGGTTTTCAAGAAGGTATGGGATGATAGTGCCTTCGTCCACGCTGACGGAGAGAACCTGGCCCTTACGGTTGACACCGACAATACCAGTAGAGTCTGAGTTTGGTGTGGTGACGAAGATGGTTTCACTGGAAATACGGTTCATGAAGATGCATGTACCAGTCTCGAGGTCGTAGAGGTGGATGAAGCCGAACTTGGTGACAAGGTAGACAACATCATACTTCTCAGAAACCTGCATGGCAACTGGGAAGTCATTTGTAGCCTCCTGTGGGAAGTAAACCTCGACAGCCTTCTTCTGGAACTTGGGGTTGGGCTCCTGGTGATCGATTTCTGCAATCTGGAGTTTGGCGCCGGTTGCAGTTCGGACGGCGAAGGTGAATAGTTTGTGTGGTAAGGGTGATCCGTCGACCTTGATGGTAGCAAAGGCAGCGGCATGGCCTTCGATGTGTTGAGATATGCCTCGTTCGACCGAGTGGAGCTGCATGGTTCCTACTATCCGTCCTTGCTGTTGGCTGATACCAACAACAACCATCCACTTTTCCTCCTCATTAACTCGATAGCTAATAATTTGGCAGCTCTGTCCAATTGATTAGTTGTATTCGCCTTTTTTGATTACAGCAAAGAGTATTGAAACGGGAGGGAAAAAACGAACCGCTAGGTTTGCAATCCGGTCGAACATCTTAAGAGGAGCATGCTGGGTCGGGTCAAAGACGTTCCAATGGTAAACGGAAGACTCGGTGATCAAGCCAATGCTTGTCTCACTGTACCACTTCCAGAAGACGACATCTTCAGTCATGACCGCCGACTTAAGCTTCTGCTTTGCCTGGAGGTCAAAGACCTGGATGGTCTTGCCCTGGGCTTTGAGGGCGATAATGTTTTTGTTCCAGTGCATGATAGCACTGTCGGCATTGATTGGGCGCCGGATGACCTCATTGTTGTTTTTAAGATTGACTATGATAACTTGCGTCTTATCATCATCGTTGACCTTTTGTCGTATGCAGACGAAATTATCGGATTCTAAAGTCTAAACAATGTGCAAGAGTAAGCTGATTAGCAATTGCGGAAGCAGGAGAAAGACCACCATGGAGGACTTACACATGAATTAAAGCCGATAGATGCAGGCTAGAGATGGAGACGATGAAGCAAGCTGCAGTTAGCTATCATGCTCAGCCACAAAGCTCTCCTCCCCACGTTCCAACAACCCCATTGCCCATCGACGTGGACCCAAAAGACGCGGTATCCGATGGAATATCAAGATATCGAGACGGAAGGGGCCCAAGTCGACCGGCTGGGGCGAGGAATGGGGAGAAGCCTTGCTCGTGTGGACATGGTGATTGCGTACCACAATATCAACATTCGTTAACTATAGCAACGTGTCAGTAAGGGACAAAAAGACAGGCAGGCAAGGCGCAGCTTTTTGAGCACCCAAGAGACCATCATACCTGTAAAAGCTCCGTAAACTGAATGGGAAGAGGAGCCATGATCTCGTAATGGCCGTCAAGGCAACGACCTCATCCAACCAAACCCGGAGCGCCAGCTATGCCGAAGAAGTAGGAGAGAAAAAAGGGAGAGAGTACGAGTGGAAAAAGAGTAAGTTGAGGGAGAGAAGAACGGGAGTGAAAGCGAAGAGAGGACGGGGAGAAGAGAGAGCTCTCGCTGGGAGGATGTTTGTGTCTGAGGATCGCAAGCGGTTGATTGAAAGGCGAAGAGGAAGTCAAAGGAGAAGGTCGAGAAGTTGATGATAAACAACCTTGCCTGTTCAGGAGTAGTCACGTGATAGTTAGTAAGCGGAGTCGGGCAGTGAAGTTGGAGATGTGAATTAGAAAGATAATAAGACAGTGAGGAGGATAGCTAGTGAAGAAGTCGAGTAGAGGATAATGAGATGGTGAAGTGAAAGAGGGCGAGAGGAAGATGGTAACGGGTGGGTGGTTGTGGTGAGAGGCAGAAGTAAAGGTTTTGATCATTTTGAGAACTGCCATTAGATTGACCACGATGAGGTTTACAAAGAGATAGCTGATTGATACGTGATATTTCAGCTTTGAATCATTGAATTGGTCTGTTGACTCTCTGCTACTTGCATCTAAATAGTTAATTGGCACTTTAAGTAACCACTAACTAACTAACTACCTAGGTAACTAAATCGTGGGTCTATCAAAATCAATTGACGAACTATCTGAGCATCCGAGTATTAGTCCGAGTTCAGCTTCTACCGTTATAATGAACCATTCATGCAGCCTCTCACACAATAGCAAGCTCCAATTGAGCACTGGCAAGCAAAGGACCTCAGACACAATGTCAATTTTAACCTCAAACGTCAATATCAGCGTCTCTTCCTACTTCTCCCTCTACCTTTGGCGGATCACACTAAAAAGAGCTTTCACGTGACCGAAAATTCCGCATAAAATCTCGAATTCAACTTTTTCTCTTCTTCTTCTTTTCTTCTCTTCTTTTTCTTCTCCATGAACAACGCAAATAAATCACATTCCGTCAAGATGTTCTGCAAAAGTTCTTTCGAGGATTCATGATGTCAGGACGTTCAAGTTACATGACCTATGTTTCTTGGGAATGGAGAAGGAAGTAAGATTCGGTCTTGGGTGCAGTGCCTTCCGCTTCATGGATGGGATTGCAATGATTGAACCTACAATTGAATTACAGCGAGTTATTCCATATTATCACAGAGAGCAGAGATTCTGGGCTATTTAATTATTAATTCAAAATTACATATATTTTCTACCTTGTTTATACAATTGACCGCCCGCTTCACGACTTCGTTTCCGTTTCCATGCAAGCCATGTCCTGAGTAAGAGAAAGAGAGAAAGAAAAGAAATCATTGCTAAACAAGAGGGTATCCGTTAATTTCATGCGCTTCCTTTATTTCCTTGAAAAAAAAGCCATAAAAGTGGTTTCGTTGTTGCTGTGTTCAAAACAGAAAGTAAAGCGAAACAATCATTGTCCGTCTTTCACGGTGCAAGTTTGCGCCCAATATTACCGAAGCAAACACAGCTGCAGAAGAGAACACTGGCAATCCATGTTCCGACTGCGAGCTGTCCCTGTGAGAGGGTCAGGCCGGCAATGCCGAATGCGGTATCGTTTAAGGCATCGGAGGCATCGCTGGGGGAGAAGACTATGCCGGGGTTCATCTCCAGAAGGGCCATCATGCCTGTCAGGCCGATGGCGGTAGAGAGGACGAAGCCGGACTTGGAGCGGTCGATAAGGTACCAGAGGAACGGGTTCACGAGTGCAAGAGTCAGGCAGACTTGAGTTGATGATTGCCATGGTAGTTTTCGCTAAAAAAAAAACAAGCAAACATGATTTAGAACAGGAGCTTCCTTATTCTTTCGTAGGGGGCCAACTTACAATGGCAAAGGCCACTCCGACAAAGGCGCCAATGCTGCGTACCATTGGGTTCCAACCGGCTTCGCTGCTCCCTTTCTGTACGGGCTTCTCTCCCATAAAGTCTTCCCACATAAGATCGAACCACGGCAGCAGATTCCCTAGCGCAACACCGGCCACTCCCCAAAACACCAAGTAATGCCACCACTCCAGGCCAAAGTTGATGGCTTCCACTCGCACAGGGATATGCAGCGGCAACAGGGCCGCCATCTGCGGGCTATCGTGTAGATGCATAATAATGACACCAAAGGTCACACCGAACAAGAACAGCAATCCACTCTGTTGCAAGGCAGGTAGCAGATAGCCACGAACAAGTCCACGCTGCCTACGACGGACTTCATTCTGTCGTTGCCGGTCTTGCTCTAGCTTGTGAAGCTTCTGCTTCTTCTGCTCTTCGGAAAACCTGTTCACAGCACCGTTCCCGTTTCCGTAGCTGCTCGAGCTTGCCTTTCCTCCACTCCCGTTTTCAAATATGCCTGATTCTCGTAGGTTGGGAGTCTGTGCACCCGTTCCCCATGGGGTTGTTCCAGGGATATCTCTATCTTCCCGGCTGCCGTCAAACGCAGTGGGGGAGTAGATCCCCAGCAGTGTCGAGGAGGTCAAGTTGATATCTGACTTTGTTCGGCTCGAAGCCGCAAGTCCCTCCTTGTCTATTGCACTCAAGCTGCCGTTTCCGTTGCCGTTAATATTGCCTGGGAACATTTCCTTGTTTGCATCTTCAGGAATGGGGGTGGGAGGAGCCGTGGAGTCCGCAGAGGGAAGCTCGAAGGGCTTTCTCGGCCGCGGCCGCAGCACTCGACCTTCATGTTCCATTGTGAGCCGGTTTCGTTCGGTGACAGCACTGTCGACAACCACGTTAGCTGCAGCTCAACGGTCTCCTTTATGACAAATAAAAAACAATGTCCGAATCAACGCGAGTTGGGGCCGGCGAAAAGTCTCAACGGTTTGGCCCAGGTGTTTTTCGCCGTATCCTCGACTTTTTAGTCATGTGCAGCCAGGGGGAGGCGGATACTTAGTTAGTTAGCCAACTAGCTAAGAGGACACGTACCGTGAGATAACAGCAGAAGAGCGTAAGTAAGAAAATACAAGACGCAACTGAAGACGTTGAAGAAGCTGGAGAAAAGATTATATCGACTTGCTCGCTGCCTGCGCTCGATGTTTTTATTTCTCTTTCGTTGCTTTTTTGACTCCAGAAAAAAGAACAGAGTTGACGATGTCACATGCTTTTTCTCCTTTTTCTGGCGCCACCAAAAAACTGCTTGAACTTTCCATGTATAAGAATAATAAACAACGCCAGCCAGGATGAAGATAGTTGCCACCGGACGGGCTGCAGGGGCTGCAGGCCGTTGGATGATTAGTTGGTGGACGGCGGAGGGACACGATGTAGCTGGTCATGCTGTGGACTTGGGGGCAAGAGGCGAATACCCCATCATCAGGTGTCTTCTGGCTTCCCTCAATGGAGGGTATAAGGGGATATGCAGCCATGGTACAGCCATTGCGACGGTGTACGACGTGGCACAGAGAGACAGAGATGTAGTTTGGTTGTAAGAGAGATGCCTCTGGATGAGTTGCTGGCGGGTGTGCCATAGTATACACTTTGAATTATACATTGATAAATAGATACATTAGTTAATGGACTTCTTGATAACACGGGCAAAGAAAGAAAGCTGGATATGCCCATAAGCCTGCCACCTCTCCCTATTCCCTTCCTATAATAAAACCATAGAAATAATATAAATGTACAGTCACTGTCCAAAGCCTCAGGTCAGACGTAGAAAATAGGAGACAGGCTAGAAAACGGAATACTTGAAGAGACAAGTCTTCTTAGTTCGATTTCCGGTCCTGATCCTGACGTACCATGTCAAATGTCTGGACTTCTTGTCTAGTCCTGGGTCATGGTCTCGTCCCCATCCATGTCTACATCCTGCTCTCGATCAGGCCCGTGGTCAGGCTCATCCGCATAGCTGTTGGTATTTGGCGTGTCAGCGGCAACCAGAGCCGCGACAGTGACGTCTTCCTCTGTTGAATCGTCGTCGTCGTGGTGGTCATGGTCGTCGTCGTCATCGTCGTCATGGCCGTTGACAGAGGCCGGGAGAGTCCTGTCATCTGTTATAGCAAAAGAAGCGTCGTCAGGTAGAGCAGATGGACCAGCCACAGCTTCAGACCCTGGTTCCTGATCTAGGTCGCCGTCAGCATCGGCATCAGCATCAGCGTCTGGAAGTGGAGAGACAGAGAGTCGAGATTCGCCTTCTGCGTCCTCTTCGTCGCCGTCATCTCCGTAGGCACTGGCATCACCTAGGATGTCTTTATCGATATCGTCCAGTGCCTCGTCATCAGGCTCCTGGTCTGGATCATGTTCCTGTTCCTGCTCTGGCTCCTGTTCTTGCTCTTGGTCATTGTCGTGCTCGTTCTCTGCAACATCTTTCATATGTATATCCCTGCCAGGCGAGCTGGGTAATCCCAACTCAGAGCCAGCAGCACTTGTACCAGTTGCATTGGTCTCCTTGAGGGCTAACGCTTTTTGTGCTTCTGCCTCGGCCTTTGCAGCAGCCTTTGCGGCAAGAGCAGCCTTCGACCTGCTTGGACGGACCCTCTTGGGCGGGTCGCCGGGCTTGCGCTCCGGTAACGGCTTGCGGCGAATATACTGTCTCTTGCCGGTCGAAGGGGGGGCAGCCAATCGGGTTGGATCCGGGGTAGACAGCTTGTCTGCGTTATTGGCATTCGATCTGCGGTCTCTTCTACCTCCTCTGGATCGGCTAGAGGCTGAAGGGCCAGATGGTTCAACTTCTTCCTCCTCGCCCATGCCACCGTTGGCATTTGCATCCCCTAAATCAAGAGCATGTTCGTGCATCAATCCATTGGGGCCAATCTCCTTATCCTCTGAGGCAATAGACTGCCAATCCCATCGATGCATACGTCGAGCTACCTTCTTCAGTACAGAGAAATAGTAGCTCCCGGCCTCACCAAAGTCTTCCTGTTGCGCATCTGGGTTCAAACATAGGCCGCCTTTGCCCCATGAATGGTCGTCATCGGTATCGTAATCCGCCGGCAGGCATTGAAGCAGTCGACCGGCATGTAGCAGACGGGATCCCTGCTCCCTGCGCTCGCGAGCTTTGCCATACTCTTCTTCACGGCGCTGAGCAAGGATATAATCTACTCGCTGCCGACGGTTTTGCTCTATGGCTAACTGATGTTGGGTCAGTGGTCGAGGCCGGCGAGAAGATGACGGCGTGTGCCCTGGAGCAGGAGAACCAGGAGCAAACTGATGGAGCACCGGATGACTTGAGCCAGGAGGTGCAGGAGATGATCCATCAGGAGCCTGGTCCATCTTGGTCTTTAGCACAATCCGTGTTCGCCCAGCGTTGGCTGAACGAGTCGTTGATGAATCTCGTTTGCGTTTATTCCGCGACCTCAGGCTTTGGACGGGAGTATGCAGTCCCTCATCATCGTCATCGCCGGGGCGCCTGCTCTGATTAAGGGGTGTGAAGAAGTTCGACTGCCTGTCTCGACCTGGGACTGGAGTTAGCATTGACGTTGAAGTTAAAAATATATAAGATAGCATACACTTACCACCAGGAGTACCGCTCATAGGGATATCACCAGACATCTGGTCATCACTCATTGTATGGTCTACGACATGTTAGTATTTTAATAGACCTAAGCAAGAGAAGTATGGCTTACCCTTTTTCACTCTCTTGCTGCGAGATACAACATCATCGTCATCGAGGATTCCTATATATCAGTTAGTGCTATCCATAATCTAATATTAGAGGAGGAAAAAACATACTCTTGCGTTCCTTTTGCTTTTCTTCACCATATTGAATTTCCTCCTGGGTATCGACATTCTCCGCATCAGCCTCCTCCTCCGACAATTCTTCTAGCTGGGGAATTTTCAATGGTGAACCATCTGTTCCCTCTCCCACTGTCCCAGGGCCAAAGGGGTTCTTCAACGCAGCTTCATCAGAAAAGTCACTCTCGAGATAAAACCACATTAGCCAGAGAAATGCCTTGGCCCGGCTCTTGCTGCTCAGGGTAGCTCGCATGACGAGGTCGAAGAAGTCGTGGGGAGAGTGGAAGTGTATTTCTGATACTTTTGGGGCGTATTGAGCTAGGACAAAGATGAGGTTGACGGGGTTAGTCCGTGGAACGCGAGTCTCTCTTAATTTTTCTAAGGTGTTCGGCTGTTCAACATCTTCTGATGCACCCTTTAATATAGACTTTAACCGTGGCGCGTCCTGCAGCTGTTTGTATGCGCTGGAATCTTGGTGGGCTTGCAAAGAAGGGATGGAGTGGTATGTTCGTAACTGAGCACGCATTTCGGGGAAGACTACCGTAGTGTTAGCACTGAACTCGGTGTTTAATATTGTAAATATGTGGGGACTCACAATTGAGGGTGGTATTCATTCGTCCAAAATTAACCAGAAGACAGACCATGGCCATGTTGATTGCAGCAGGCTTGTCGGTGGTCAGTTTATCCTTCAGCACCTTGCTAGTCTTGCTGCTCTTTGCCATGGCGTCGATGTAGATATCCGCAAAGCTCAGTCCGCTCTTTCCGTCGGAATATCGGGTGAACACAGGTGTAGTATCTTCAAAAACCATGCGCAGGAAGAGATGTTGGATGTCCTTGCGCCAGAGCGGAATGCCATCATCTTTCTTGAGATGGCGAATTTTGTTGCCGGAGTAGACGCTGCCAATGGTCCCGTTTGTCTGTCGACGGCTACTAGCAGGCGCGGAAGCCGCAGAAGAAGACTCTGGCTTAGTCTCCGGCTTGTCACGACCTCCTGCTGATGTTGCCGTACTTTCATTCTTCGTAGACTTTGCCTCAGTAGCCGTGCTCTTCTTCTCTTTCTCCTTGTCATTCGCCTGTCCCTGGGAATTATCCTTCTCCTGCGGTTTATCATGTCCATTCTGCTTCCGTTCCTGTTCCTGTTCCTGTTCCTTGTCCTTGTCCTTTTCTTTTATCTCTTTCTCCTTGTCCTCCGGGCCGGGGGAACTGTCCTTTGGCGGCCAGTCCTCCCACGTACCAGCCTCTGTCCAGAAGCCCTGTAGAGGGTAGTTAGGGTCATCCGTATAGTGTCTCTGTCTGCCACCCTTTGTGCCTGGCTCCGGCTCCGAAAGGCGCTTCACGCTGGTTCTGGGCAACGGGTATCGACACGCAGGGAGTGGGAAGTCCTTCCTTGAGCCCGCGTAGTAGCCTCCGTCAGGCTTGTCGAAATGTGTCTCCTTTTCAGGCTCGAACGCGCCTCTATCGCCCGTTCCGGTTCCTGCCCCCATCGTCGCGGTGGACGAATTCTCGGCCTGTGTCCGTATATCAAGTTTCGACGTCGCTTGAGACTCTATCCGCGACTCTTCTTCTGGTGTTGCTGTTGTTTTTGTTGTTGTTGCAGCTGTTGCAGCTGTTGGTTCCAGGGCTGGCGAAGGCGACGCTGGAGGATGAGGTTGAGCTGGCGTTGATGCAGCCGGTGCCGGGGCAGGAGCAACAGCCGGACTGCCCTGGCGAGACGACGAATCGGTGCTCGCCATGGTCATTAACTATAGGCGGACAGTCTCAGCTTCGATTCTTTTTCGACTCGGCCTGGATTGAAAGCAGAAGAAGAAATGCCGCAGGTCCAGCGAGCTCAATCGAGCCTGAAGAGCTGGCGAAACTTGACTAGACGACTCGAGACCAGGAAGCAGAGCTGATCATTGTTAAGTCTGCGCCGAGTCAGTCGAGTCGAGGACGAGGAAGACGGAGATAAAAAGCTGAAGAAGCAAAGAGACTAAGAGTAAAGATGAAGAGAAGAAGCGAAGAAAAAGTGCGCGCCGGAAGTTTTGTTAGTGAAGAAGCGAGCGGATGTCAGGAGGTTGGCTGGTTTTTTGGTGTTGCGGGCGATGGCGAGTGACTTGGACGCCCAGCAAATTTACGCGTGGAGTTGAGTACCGCCGCATGCCTCTGCACAGTCCCCCTTTGTGCTGCCGCAAGGCTCCTTTTCGGGCCGGTTCTACTGTGTTTAGAGATATTCAGACCGCCGCAGAGGTGTTCTGCATAGAAAACGCCTATATAGCGGCTGGATGTAGGCGAAGTGCCGCGTATCGCCGTCTAGCAATACACATCTACAGGAGAGCTTTACGGTTACAGAGGCACTGGATAATCAAGAAAGACAAGAAATTAATATAGATCTGCTGCTATTTTTCTATTCCATCTCATCCGATCCCATCTCAAGAGAGAGGAAGACAACCCGTCAGTCATAGCAATAACCGGCTATGGATGAAAATAAAATCAACAGGAAAAGGATGAAAAGAGAAAAACTCCCGCGTCTATGGTGAAGATGAAGAAGCCTTTTTCTTCCTTTTCCGTTCCGTTTCCCTCTCTATTTTCTCTAGAATCGTGGGAAATGCGACATGAATGAATATGGAAGAGACATGAAAAGAAGATTGATAGCTTCGTGCTTCTGCTCCTGGCTGGAAGGGGGCAACAATGGTATGTAAGAAAAAACATCACCGTCGTCGAGCCAGGCTTGTGATAAAGACATGAATAAAAGGGAATAAAGGACATCATCGAGAGACGAAGAGTAACATCGAGGAGAGGTAGGGGGTAGGTGATTTTTGGGGTATCTCATAGACAAGCCGTAGGCAGAAGCAGAAGCAGAAACAAAAAACCCATTGAGAAAAGCAGAGAAAAAATGGCATAAGAGACATGAGAAGACATAAGAAAAGATTAAAAAAAAAAAAAAAAACACTCCACAATCAACGCTGGTCTATATGATCTTCATGCAAGTTCCGATTTCCCCAATTCCCGATATTTGGTGGTAATTTTTGGTTTCCCCTATTTCTTCTTCTCTTTTCTTCCTCAAATGCCGGGAGAAAGAGAAGAAAAGGAACGACGACGGCAAGGAAAGAAAAGGATAGGGAAAATGAAAAATTGAGAACAAGACAAGACAATGCAGAGATGAGCAAAGGCTCGGTAGAGAGATGGACGACTCTCTTGGGCCTGTTGCGTTGACGTTGGTAGGAAACAAGGAAAAGGATGAAGAGAGAAAACAAGATAGCCCCATCTTTCGAGTCAGACAGACCATTGTGCGTCTCTGTGGATGTGTCGATGCATGCAAAAAAACGGAATACTCGAGAACAACCGCACTCTTTTGGTGTTTTGTGTTTCTTGGTTTTTTTGTTTCTGTTTTGAGTGGTTGCTGCTGTCGAAGCCGATGCAAATTGAGAAGTGTGAAAACAAAGGAAAGATAGATAAGATGGGAAGATTTAGGAAGAAACGAAAAGGACGGGATATCAAAGACGAGTTTGGTTGGTAAAAAGAAGGGGAAGAGAAATTCGTAGCAGATCGTAACAAAAAGCCGCTCCCTCCTCTCCTTATTTTGTGGGTGTGTTGGTATATCCTATCCTCTTCACTCCTTTTTTGATTCCTCTCAGTAGAATAGAAACGTCACTTTTCAGCCGTGAGAAATTGAAACAATAGAAGAAAGAAAATTTGAAAAAGTCCAGGGTCGTAAAGTGAGCCAGTGCCAGTTATGTTTACCATGGCAATAGGTAATGGTAGTTTACCACCAGGAAGATGGGCCAGTTGGGCCGGATGGGTTGCCGTAGCCACCACCTCCATAACCACCACCACCACCACCATAAGGAGCACCGCTATAGTTACCTATAATCATTATTAGTACCAATTCATTCATAAAGGAGAGCAGAGGGAATGCTTACCACCACCGCCACCACCACCGTAGCTTGGGGGAGCAGCGTAGTTACCACCGCCACCACCGTAAGATGGGGGACCGCCCATTCCACCTCCCATGCGACGCATATCACGGTTAGCACCAGCAGAGCCGCGGCCACGGCCACGACCTCCACGGCCACCGTATCCAGAGCCCTCGCGAGCAATGTTCTCGAGGAAAGATGGGACTTCCTGGTGAGCTTCCTTGAGCAGTTCGATGAGGTCACGGACAACACCACGGTTTCCACGGTTGAAGAAGGCAGTGGAGATACCGGTATTTCCAACCCGAACGGTTCGGCCCGATTCGGTGGACATAGTCGTCAATGTCGGTGGGAAGGTCATAGTGACGACGTGAGTGACATTGGGAATATCGAGACCACGGGCAGCAACAGCGGTGGCCACCAAGATGGGGCAACGGCCGTTACGGAAGTACTCGAGAGCACGCTCACGCTCACGCTGGGTGCGATCACCGTGGATAGCAGTGGCTGGGAAATGCTGGTTGATGAGGAATTCAGACAGAGAATCAGCCATACGCTTGGTTTCGACGAAGATGAGGGTCAATCCGGCGCCGTGGGTGTGCAGGATATCAAGCAGGACGGAACGTTTGTCGCCGTCCTCAACATACTCGACCTTTTGGGTGATGTTCTCAGAAGTGGAACCGACGCGGCCGACGGAAAGGAAGACGTAATCCTTCAAGAAATCACGGGCGAGCATCTGGATGTCTCGTGGGAAAGTGGCCGAGAACATGAGGGTCTGACGGCCGGCAACCGGGGGCATGTCTTCACCTTCGACAATGCGGCGAATTTGGGGCTCGAAACCCATGTCAAGCATACGATCAGCCTCGTCAAGAACGAGATACTTGATGTTGCAGAGAGAGATGCGGCCACGCTCGATCAGGTCGACAAGACGTCCAGGGGTGGCAACAAGAAGATCACAGCCACGTTCGATCTGGCGGAGCTGGGAGCCGATATCTGCTCCTCCGTAGACGACACATGGGCGAACCCAGGAGCGGTAGGCAAACTTTCTTGCCTCGTCATAGATCTGAGAAACAAGCTCACGAGTAGGAGCCAAGATGAGAGAAGTAGGGTAAGCCTTGCGCTGACGGCCGTAGCTGAACTGGCCGCCTTGCTGGGTGGGAGCTGGAGATGGTCCGCTCTGGAATGCCTGAGAGAGGATTGGGAACAAGAAACCACCAGTCTTTCCGGAACCAGTCTGGGCACAAGCCATCAAGTCACGGCCTCCCATGACAATTGGAATGGAATATTTCTGGACCAGTACCGATGATTTCCAAGGCACTTCCTTAATGTTGGAGATCAAATGGTCATCCAGAGGAGGGTTGGTGAATGTGCTGACAGGCTCGGGGACGTTCTGACCGGAGGCTTCGACGGGGATATCATCGTAGTTGGCGAAGTTGATACCGGTATGTTGCTTGCTGGGATCGTTGGGGACGCCGAAGAGTTCACGTTCGAGGCGAGCGTTCGAAGGACCGGGAATGTGCTTTCCATCACGCCACTGGCCATCACCAGAGCCTCTGGCAGCGCCGCCGCCGCCGCCGCTACCGCCGTAGTTGTTTCCGCCCTGTTGACCTTGGTGGCCTGGGTGACCGTAAGCATGTGGATCGAAAGCACGACGGGAGCCGGCGGGTTGACCCCAGCCAGAATTACCATTCACGGCCGGACCGCCACGAGGACCATAGTCTCCAGCACCCCAGCCGGGTGCGTTATTCGGGCCTCTATTTCTTCCCTTCTAGTTAGCAAGAATTCAAAGCTAGTTTGAGTTATTGTATGGAGGTTGCTTACCCAGGAGCCCAGGCGCTGGCGTTCATGCCAGCAGGGCGGCCGTTCTGACCGGGAGCAGGACCGTCGGGACCGTCAACGGGAGGGGGAGCAGCGGCGGACTCAGCGGCAGCAGCCTGGCGGGCCTGGCCACGGAGGTGAGGAGGGATATAAGCAGAGCGTCCGGTCTGGTTTGGCGCGTGCTGCGAGTCGTTGAGGGAGAGGTTTCCGATTTTGAGGTTATCAGCCATATTAACTGCCCAAAACCACCAGAACAGACGGTCAGCCAGACTTATTCACCAGCACAAGACAACAGAACAGACGAGATAGCCAGGATGGATGGACTACTCACCGAGTATCCTTCAAGGTATCCTTCGAAAGTAGCTGGTAGTTGATTACTGGCGCGCGTTTGGAGGGATCGTAGATAGTCGTTACGAGAGTCAAATAAAAAGGAAGAAAAAAAAAAGAATTGGGATTTTATCTAAAACAAAAAGACACACAGACGAGAACACAGAATATGACAGGACAGAGATTTCTCTTGTCCTCTTGCTCCCTTGTTATTTCTTCTCTCTCTCTCTGTGTGTGTGTGTGTGTGTGTGTGGTGCTGGTGGTTGGTGATGTTGTTGTTGTTGGTTTTTGCTGTTGTGTGTTTTTTTTCTATGGTGGAAGAAAAAAACCACTTGGGGGCGAAGGCGGTGTAATTAGAATAGAAAGAATAGTAGAAGAAGCGCCTGGTAGAGCCTCACGGATGCGAGATATCTTCTTTCTTCGCTCTCTCTCTTTTCTCTCTATTTAACAAACTAAAGAGAAAGAAAAGGAAAAAAAAGAGAGCTCAACAAAGTCCAGCAAGAAAAAAAAAGCAGATGGAGAAGAAGAAGAAGAAGAAGAATGAAAAGTTCGAAGTTGGAGATTTTGAAGATGAAGAAAAAAAAAAGTTGAAGGCGAAAAAAAAAAAAAAAGAAGAGATTTCAAAAGATGACTAATCCGTTTTACGGTGACGAGTTGGAGATTATAGGGATATGGTTGGTTAAAATAGTGTTAAGGCTCCACTTGTATGGTAAAACTGACAATACGGGTGACTAAGCCTGGCCCCCACGACATTGCTTTTTACAGAGAACGAAAAGGGGGTAAGAAAGAAGATCGTAAAAAAGATAGAAGAGGGACAAGATGAAGATGATGAAGCTAGAGATGATGATGATGATGACGTTGGAGAAGGCATGGGAACGCGTGGAAAGAAGGCGGAGGAAGATGGTAGAGTTGGCAGGGCTGGGGGGCTGACAGGTGTCAGTGGCAAGACCTGTCAGACCAGGGGGTCAGGGGCAGGAAGATATATATCGATCATATAGGTGATGGAAGAAGAGAAGAGTGGAAGAGAAGCAAATATACACGGCCAGTCCTATATAGATAAAGATAGATAAATACCTCCAACACCACAGGAAGAAACACACCAATCATAATGGTATACGCAGGAAAGGGGCATAAATAAATGACAGTCAAAAGAGAGAGTATATAAAAGAAGAGACAGGAAACAATAGGCAGACAGAGGGACGGACTAATAGCCGTCTCGGGCATCTCGCCAAAAGGCCAGTCCGCCGTAGTCACAAACACTGTCCATCCACATTATCGAGGTCAAGCACTGCTTCACCTCTTCCCACGTCGACAGCTCCTTCATCTGCAGCGTCTGCTCGAACCGGGCTGCAAACCAATCGGTGTCGGCTCTTATGCCTCGAGATGCTATGCCGCCCATGACGATGATCCACAGGTATAGAGACGACACCCGATCCTCCTCCTCGTGCGTCAGGTCCTGGCTGCCTTCTCGCCCATACTCCCACGGCCACTGGCCTGATTCGGCCGCCCAGCCGCTTCCCTCGTCGCCGTCGACGGCTATCAAGGCGTTGACGAGCTGTGCTACCAATCGCTTGAACGGCCTGTTAGCTGCAGGTAGTGGGAAGATGACTAACATGCTGTAGACCATAGCAGCGAGACGGCAAGGCTCGTACAGACGGTAAGTAGCGTTGTAACCATCTGGAAACTCATAGGAGGCGGGTAGAGAGACCAGGTTGTATTGGATATAGTTGCGGCGGTCGGCGATGACAGACAGTTCCAGGTTTGGCAACAGCCCCTGGGTCTGTAGGTCGACCACGATGTTGTATTCCCGCATGTTCTGTAGGATGACCTGTAGGTTGGGTGGGATAGGGGAAAGAGGGTTGGTGGGGATGGAGTTGTGCATTGGACGAGTGCTTAGGAGGTAGTTTAGAGTCGTGGTTGTTGTTGATGACAGGTCATCTGAGGAACTTCCTGGGTAGTCTGAGCCATTGCTGTTGGGTGTTGGGTTCAGCGACGGCCAGTTCGGTGTTTGGCCAATGGCCGTCTCCTTGAAGATCGGCACAAATGGCAGACGAGGTTTGGCTAGGTATTTTGTTGATAGCATTACTCCGGATCTAGACATAAGTCAGTATGAAGAGGACCAACACATTGAACAGGCCTAAGATGTTTCAGCACATACGTAGATAGGGTCTCCGCCAGACCAGGCATCTTTATTGATTTGAGACCTCCTCTTGTCTCGATAATTGCCATCAATCCCTTGACATGGTGATCGTTCAACGACAACCCGCCATACACATCCAGCCACTGCAGGTTCCTCAGGGGCGCCTTCGGAGAGGGGTCAGATACCGTCCAGCCAGAGTAATCTATCCGGTTGAACGCCATGCACAAAACAGCGAGCACAACTTCATCGGAAAATGCCTTTGCCGGGTCTTTCATCATCATGTTCAGCTGCTTAATCGTCTCCGTCTCACAGACAATCTGTTCCAACTTCTCAGCTCTCGTCTGAGGTGAAACCTGTACGCTATCCAGCCGACGACGGGTTTGCATGTGGCCGGCCGCTCCGTATAGGAAGGCAGTGAACAGTGCTGGGTTTGCCATTGCTCGCGGTAACCACACACCAGCTGCAGCTTCACGGCCCCAACGCTGGCCTTCTGCCCCCAAGACGAGGCCGGGCCAGAGATCAAAGGCGGCATAACGCATAAGCTTGCTTATGGCTCCCTCGTCCAGCATTGAGGGACATATCTGACCGGGGTTCTCAAGCCAGTGTATAAGTTGGTTGAATGGGCGGTTGACGTTGTTCCTGCCGACGCTAGCATGCATGGGATCTGGTGTCGATATGTGTGGTGCTATGGCACGACAACCGGTAGGAGGAGGAGAACCGTCAGAATCACTACTCTCTTCATTTGCAACGACGACAACACTGTTCCTAGCCCGGGTATTATAGTTGTTAGTAGTAGCTTGTGGGATATCCTCCACGTCTCCATCCGCGTCTGCGTCTGCGTCTATCTCGCCTTCGCCTACATCCATATTGGTATGCATATCGTTCCGGCTCCCGTTGACCACGGGCTCCTCCGTCTCGATACTGGGCACGGTGTCGGCCACATCAACCGGCCTACGCACGCTTGCGCCCACTGTTGCTCGAGTATTAACATTACTCGGTGGAGTCTCCTCCTTGACTCCCGCTGACCATGTCTTGAATGCCTGTCCACGACGTCGGGACGCCGCCACCGTCTTGCCAGCATCAGTAGCAGAATACTGACGAACCGCCAACCCAGAGCCGTTCCCATTCCCGTTCACATTAACATTCGTAGATAGCCCTGCTGAGCTAGCATCCCCAGCTCGCACAGCTCGGTGTTGCCTCCATATATACTTGCTGGCGTGTGAACGGATCAACGTTCTGTTCTCTAACTTCTGGTCTTCTGATATGGGATTCACTGTCACAAAGTGGAAGACATCGCCGGTCTTGTTACTGCCAGCCCCATCTTTCCCAGTACTACCACCGGCAGCAGCAGCACGGCGTTCGGCGAGCTTCGACTTCTTCGTCTTGGGTGGCATGACTATAGATATCGCGACGGCTGTGGGGAATCTTTGGACGACAGGTGTTGTATCAAAGCGGTCAATTGTGGAGCTATACGATCAGGACCGCAGTTCTTGTCATCAATTGCTGATTCTTCATGCTCGGTCATCGTGAAAATGGGCGATATGAAATGAAAGAATTACCTTTCTATCACGGAGTGAGTTATTCCTCAAGTGAATGATGTATGGAGTAGCAGTTTGTTCCTTCCGAGTGCGTTCACGGTATCAGCCAAGACAAGGATAGATCAAGACCAGCGAAGAACATGGTATCCGCACACCATTTCTTGCATGTAATGTGTTATATTGTTCTTATTTCTGGCACCTTGTCTTTGGATGTGTAACGAAGGTGTTCTGTCTTCCTTTTTGTTTTTATCTGCTGTCGTCCTGTGTGTCTTTTGGGGGCTCCCTGTCCTGCCAGTCCAGAGGGACGGGTCCAGGGCTGCTTAAAGAGAGCCAGGGAGGAAAAAATAAAATAGCATAAAATAAAATAAGAGGAAAGCCAGAAGCCAGAGAGCAGTGTGGCAGGATTTGAAAAAGAAAAAGACAGCAGATTAACCCAAAATGCGCCCCAGCAGCCTGCCCAGGTTGCACCTAAGGGCGTTAGTTCATAATATCTCTCCTCGCAGTTAGCTTTGTTATGGAGCACGCTCTCGTCTCCCGTTGCAGCCGGGGAGGGCAGGAATTAGTCGAAGGTTGGGACGGGAGGGAGCGCAGCCAAAGCAACGAACAAGCCCTCCCCATCGAGTCGCTGCTATTCCAGTCCGAACAACGAAGAGGAATAACTCTGGACTAAGAGCCAGCTAGCTGCACGTCCATCGTCCGCCAAGCTCTCGATCTTCATCCTGACCAGAAATAGTGTGAAGAGACGGGTCCTAGTGGACGTAAAAAAGCAAATATTGGCCTTCACAGTCTTGCTTATCCCTTCCTCCCAAAAAATAATGTTTGGACGCACTCCATTTTGGCTTTTTCTCGCTCTCTCTTGTTCACCCTCTTGCTCACTTCCGACCTGGTCTAAGTCGGGATGGAAGTCTGATTGCGAGCTAGATCGCGGGAAAAGGTTTGTTGCGGTCACCATGTAGACGCTCAGGGCGATTATCCTTTTTCAGCTAGCCATACGGAGTTCTCCGTATAAAAGGGGGCGGCAGAGAAAGGGCGCCAGCGAACGCCCGCAGGGTCAAGCGAACGATGGAAAACAAAAAGGCACAAAGCTGATTTCAAACGGGTGTTCATCCATTTGAGTCCGTGATCAGGAATGCCCATTACGGTGCGGTGTTGCAAGTTTTAGCGTGCCTTGTCCGGTGTGTGCGTTTCTTCGCTCCACAGCCGTTGCATGGATCTCGAGTTGGCCCACCGTACTTAATTAGTTAGATCGCAGGGCAAAGGGTGACAGACGAGAGCGAGAAAGCGGCAGAGGAAAAGGAGAGCTATCAAAGAGACCTGGAGCAGGCATTCTGGGGAGGAAGCTTTCTCTCAATGCTGATGTTGCGTTGCCTTCGTTCGGTCGTGAGACCCTTTGGTTGCACGGCCTGCGGGAGACTTCAGGCGTACGGAGTAGTTTTGCCCTTTTCTCCTGCCCTTCTGAAAGACAAGTGCGAAGGTATTTTCCGGGCGGTGGACCAGCCCCGACATCTCTCATTTCTCCACGTTCTCTTCTCGGCTTTCCTTACCGGGCCCCTCTTTGCCTTCGTAGCGTGCTCAAGAAAAGTGATATCTAAACCTTCGTTCAGACGGAGAAGAAAAACGAGCCAGCGGCGGTCGAATCGGATAGTTCCAGCCAGCGAAACCCTCGCCAGAGCAAAACCTTCGCTAAACCCAGAGATCCCTGAGCCTGACAAACGGGGGTTTTGTTATCAGACGCATCAACTTCTGGCTTCCATGGATCTGGCAGCTGTAGGTAGGCGAAAAGGGAGGCTTGTTCGGCCTGCGTTACCCGGCCCCGTCGTATTTCTTGGTCTCCATCGAACGCGTACTGATGGGGACAACTCGTACGATGATGTACTTTCGTAGTACGGCATCAAATTTCATCATCTGCAGCTCGCTGGGCTCTCTGTATGAAAGCTGTGATTGGTGCTGTACCTCCTCATGCTGGGGACCTGTAGAATGACAACGAGATATTTTCACATCTCCCTGCATGCTGCATGCTGTCGATCGTCTGCGCTTCTCAAAACCAATGCACACCCTGGTTTCAGATCCCAGAGTATTGGGGTGCCGGATGCACATTGACTAATGCCTGGAGGGTCGAAGTGGCTACAATAGACGTTAGACGCTGGCGTGAGAAGCCGGTGCTGCGCTGCATCATAGTACACAACGCCAGACACAACAAGCAGCACAAAGCTTTCGTACCTCGTACCAGACAATAGTCAACATTTGCCGTAAATTATACGCCTGGGATGGCACCTGTGTTAATGTTAGTTCGTTAAGTGTGGTGGCTGTCGTAAGGAGCCGACGTTGAGGTGAGAAAGAAGTTTGTCGACTTCAGCCAAAGCCTCATCTCATCTCATCCATAACTAGGTACTCCATACAGTACGGTTGACACTCCCAACTGCTCTCCCTTCTCGAACACAGGCTACATGACGCCACGAAGGCAGTTAACCCTATAGAGACCATGCCTGCATACTGCATGCTAGGATCAGCCTACTTTATTGAAGTTACTGGGTGTCAATTCTGCAAGGAGACACGCACACGCACTGCGAGTTGTTGGCGAGAACTGCTCCATAGGTAAGGAGGAGGCAGCAAACAATTCTACGCGGAAGGGAAAAAAAGCCACACAGAAGCTAGTATATTAACTCCGAAAGGCGAAGAGAAAAGAAAACTAGAAGCTTCTCCTGATAACCAATTTGCCTTCCTCTCAACTGGTAACTAGTCAGCCTCTGTGGCTCAAAGTAAATCCAAGAGACCAGAACTCTGACAACCCCTATCCCGAACACCACCAAGGATGTGCTGGATTCCAGATCAGCACTCATCTAGGCGGGGCAGAATAAGGCTGGGCATGCACAGGTCAATAATCGTCGCGAACGTTGAATTTAATGTTGCTTGCTGATAGTCGCAAACCCTGAGAAAGAGGCGGTGAAATTGCTTCAGCGCTTGAGCAGTGCTAAGGAATATAGCCTATCCCATTCTCGGCATATAGGATCTAACGTTTTTACGTCTTTGGTAGGGATAGCATTTGTCCCGTCTCCCATTAGCAGGCCAACGGAAGGGTACTGTCTCCAGCCCGGGCCGGCTTGCGGGTCCTTGACAAAGTCTGCCCATAGCTTTTGTAGCCAGAGCTTGTTTGCTTGTCCCGGGTCGCGGAGGCCCTGCGTACCAAATACATAGGCGATATCAGATGTATGGTAGACTCCTAGGTCTGGGTACTCTGGATGGCGTGCAGCAGGGTCATTGAACAGGTATTGCCATACGCGCGCTTTCAGAGCCGTTGTGGTAAGATTTGCAGTAAAGCCAGCAGGGCAGCGGAACGTCGAGTCTGTTATCATCTGTGAGATTATTTGGTTACCCGTTGATAGGCCCGTTGTTGCAGTGGAGTTTGGTGCGTATAGTTTAGTTATCGCCTCCGCTACTCCAGGGGGAAACGATAAACTCCCGATGAAGGCTGTGACATTATCCCCTTTGCCGTAGGCGAACGTTGATCCGTCGTCTAGAGTTGAGCCTATGAGGATCGGTACTTTTGCTGCCTGGCCTGCAGCGTACGCCTTGGCTGGGGATTCGAGGACAGTAACGTTGTCTATGTTGGGTTTTTGGAACGGTAGACCTGTCTCCAACAATATTCCACGCAAGGTATCGGCGCTCGCGCCACGAACACATTCCAATATGGCTGAGTCTGAAGCGACGGTACAGTTGAGACGTTGCACCAATGCTGTCCAAGATGAGAATTCGCTGTTGGGAGGGCTTGGAGGGATTTGGAAGAGTGACGACCCCGATTGCAAAATGGCTGCTCGAAAAGGTAGATCGGCGGGAGCTGTATTGATGAGATGGCCCACAGATACCGCTCCGGCAGACTGCCCAGCAATGGTTACTACGAAGGTAGTTAGTTATTGCATCCTAGAATCGGGGAAGCCACATTACTCTACCTTTATCTGGGTCGCCTCCAAAGGCATGAATATTTCTCTTTACCCAGTCAAGAGCAAGTCTCTGGTCAAGTATACCCAAGTTCCGCTGGTCTAACGGAAGCTGCGGTGACCGGGGAAAGCCAAACACTGCATCAGGAGTTATTCACTACTCTCAAGGTCGTATTAGAATGGCATCAATACTCACAGTTCGTCCGGTAATTCACGGTAACCACGATGATATCCTGATTTGCGGCAAGGCTTGAGCCGTCGTAAAACGGATATGAACTTGCTCCAAACCTATACCCACCACCGTATATCCAGAACAATATCGGCTTTCCGTCGTAGTCACCGCTGGGCCGGTAGACGTTTAAATACAAACAATCCTCGCTCTCTCCAGGCGCGGGAGGTGTATTAAACAATGCCTTTTGAAACTCGCTGCCAGAAGTTTTGTTACCGAAATCTTGAATGCAAGCCGGAGGGCTCTTGGTAGTACGTCTCGGTTTGTCCCATGGCAGTGGGCGCTCTGGTGGTGAGAATCGCAGGTCCTTGACCGGTGGTTTGGCAAATGGGATACCGAGAAACTGGTGCACTGTTGCCTTTGAGCCAAGGACTTCCGCATTTTTACCGATGATAACACCTGAATCGATTGTCACGACTGGACTGGCATGGACTTTATCATAGCTGCGAAGTCGTTCGAGAGGTGAGGCTGTTGTGGCTGGTATAAGGACAGCGCAAAACGCAAGTGTTTCCAGGAAAAACCGCATCATGAAGCAGTGCCTGCTAGATAGTTGGCTGAATCTATCTCGATGTTTCGGGAATCCATCTTGTTCTTTAAATAATGGGTATCACGGCCGACATTTCCTTGATTGCTGATGAACTGGGAGGAACCAGCCTCTGAGCCAACTTGATGTGGTTTGATGCGCCGCTGAAGATGTTTGGTGATAGGGTGGAGCGTGGCGGAGTGGACGAGAAGGATCGGGCTGTATCCTGACTTTGATCGTCTTCAGGTCTCAAGACGAAGGATCGGATGTTATTAATAACTGAGGGTTATGACATCAGAGGCGATTGTTACTACAAGAAATATACCATTCAACTAACTAATGTGCCATTATCATCATCCGCAATAGAGCTACAAATGTACGAGAAGGATGCGGACAGTTTATACTTACAAAGCCTGGCTAGCCTCGTATAGATCAAGGTCTATGCTGCATCGTGAATGAACAAACATATGTAGGGATGATAACTGTATATACAAGCGATAGAGAGCAGACAAGTATGTTGTGAGTAAATTGGATTGTATACGCCGTAGTCTACTTTGTGCTGCCTGGCATAAAGGGGTTTTGGCCATTTCTGTTAAATCTGAATCGTCCAAAGCGTCCTTTTAATTCATAAATAGACACAGTTCATAATCATCAGCAGATCCGGACGATAAGTTGTAAGGAAATTAATCATACGACATGGCACTTGGTGAGGATGGTGATGAAGAAAGGACAGGTGAATCTGGGCAAATTGAGAATATGATGAGGCCGGAAGGCTCGAATAAAACCGTCTAGATTTCATCACGGGCTGGGACCTCTTCTTTCTCGGAGCCGGGCTTAGATGGTGATTCAGTACCTTCACCCTCAGTTTCCTCCTTCATCTCAAGCTCTCCGCACTTGGCGATCTTTACATCTTTGGTGGGACGGTCCTGGAAGCCCTTGGGAACGACTTGGATCTTATCAACGATATCGTATCCCTCGAGTACTTCACCGAAGACAACGTGCTTTCCATCAAGCCAGCTATTTAAATCGTGGTCAGCAATGTGAGCAGTATATATCACATAAATAATAGCGAAAACCTACGCAGTGATAGCAGTGGTAATGAAGAATTGAGATCCGTTGGTGTCCCTTCCAGCGTTGGCCATGCCTATTGTGGGGGTTACGGTTAGTAAAAGATAATCTCAATCGTTAACCAAAGAGCATGCAGGTTATAACATACTGAGAAGGCCCTTTTTGGTGTGGCGTAGCTTGAAGTTCTCGTCCTTGAACTTCTCCCCGTAGATGGACTTTCCACCGGTTCCTACATTAATTCGTCAGCAAATCAAGGTATGACATAGAGGGACACTGGCAATACTAACCATCACCATTGGTAAAGTCACCACCCTGGATCATAAAGTCCTTGATGACACGGTGGAAAGTAGATCCCTCATATCCAAATCCCTTCTCGCCAGTAGCCAAAGCACTGTTATGTTTGTACCCGTCAGCAGTTTGGCCTCTACGGCACAATCGAATGATATCAGATATCGATGGACGCAGCGAGTACATACCGGAAGTTCTCAGCAGTCTATGTTGCAGGTAGTTAGTATGGCACTGTATCTCTCTTCTGGATGATTGAGGACAGCCAACCCACCTCTGGCACCGTCTTTCCGTACAATCCCATGACAATCCGTCCGAGAGGCTTGCCGTCATGCTCGATATCGAAGAAGACCTACATAACACAGTTGATTAGCGCTTCGCCGACATCTCCAGGCTGTTACTGTGAAGAGGGCAAAAGTACCTTGTTTGTGATCTTGGGTCCTTTGGCCTCGACCGTCTGTCCCATGAAAAGGAACAGGCCGACGACGGCGAAGACCACGAGGGTCAAGATACGCCCAATTCTGGCCATATCGTGCATATAGAGGTGTGAAATGCAAACAAGACGCTTATCCTGCGATAGGTAGAACAGGAGCTCGAGGAATAAGAGACAAGTTATGGTATGAAAGTGGCATGCAGGAGAGAGAACGACGTGGCTGTTATGATTCCAATGAATGCCCTTGCCTGGCCTCTGGGCTAATACTCGTTACCTGGTAAAGATAGGTAAAATATTATTGGTTAAAGTACTGTGTCGTTTAATCTATATTCACTATTACTATTGGCTAAATTAGTCAATCAAAACTTATGTACCGCCGCTCAACCAATGGCTGCTTGGCTGCAACTAAAGGACCACTAGGAAAATGGAATAACTAACGAGGTAACTAATTTAGCCAAAACATTCGCTGTCTCTTGGTCCTCACTGTAGCGTGCTTTCTTGCCGAATCCGATGGATATTACGGCTGGAGGAAAGAAGACGAACAAGATACCAACTGCTACGCGACAAGTCTATGCTGCACGCCAACATGTCGCCGCAGCTTAGGTATATGACACAACAAGCCAACTAAACCATTCAATTGCTACACTTTTCCGTCTTATTGGCGTCGGACCATCAACTTTGGGTAGTTATCAGCGGTCAAATCATGAAACAACGTATGTTTTTGAGACTATTTAAGCATCTTGCGTCGGCTTGTCATTGTCCTGGTCTATATTCTGTCGTCCAACCTCCTCTGTCTCAAGAGACAGCTCCTTAACAAGCAAGGAAGGAATAAAGCCAAATGCGCTAAAACTGGCCATGAGATACCATACCGCTCGGAATGCGTCTCTATATGCCTGTTTGACGGCAACCATGACTGCAGGGGAGACGTCAACCTCACGCAGGTGGGTAATAAACCCGACAGCTTCCGATGAGTCGCGAAGGATAGCCAGAGCCTCAGGAAGCGGTTCTGCCTTTACAATGGACGTTGCGAAAACGCTGCTGAAGATAGTGGAACCGGCAGCGAGGCCAACCAAAGCGCCGAAAAGACGGAATGAGACAAGGATACCAACAACCAAGCCTTGGTCGTCGGGCTTTACGCTTGCTTGAACAGCGACGGCAGGGACGACAAACTGGGCGCCCAAGCCAATGGCAGCGATGATCTGGAACCCAGCAGTCATGGCCACTGTAGCCTTTTCATCCCAGAGTGCGTACAGTCCCGTGCCAACTGCCATGGTGACCCAAGATGCCCAAAGTAGCTAGAGATATCGGCGGAGGTGATCAATGGCAAAGCCGGTGATGATGCTAAAGGCAATGAGGATGCAGCAGAGTGGGAGAATGGATACAGCTGACTGAAGAGGCGTCTCGAGGAAGACAGACTGGAAGAAGAGGGGTAGGTAGAGCAGCGATGGATATAGCACCAGACCGTGGATAAAGCCCCCGATCAGAGTCGCCGAGGTGGTCAAGTTGGTCATGAACCGATAAGGGATAACAGCCTCAGCAGGGCGCTTTTCATAAATGGCGAAAACAACCAGAATAACGACGCCAATTATCAAAGGCAAAATTGTTTTCCATGAAGACCAAGCGTACAAGGCACCGGCCCAGCTCAGCGGCAACGAAAAGAGGGTAGAGCCAGTGATAAATAGGGCCATACCAAGCCAGTCGAGCCTAATAAGCCTAGAGGTGAAGGATCCATCCATAGGCTTCAAGTGCATGAACAAGACGGCGCAGACAGCACTGATGGCGACGAGGGGCAAATTGATCCATCCAATCCAGCGCCAGTCGACATACTCGCTAAAGAGGGAGCCCAAGACAGGACCCAGGATGACTCCAACGGCCATGGGAACGGCCAGGATACCCAGCCAAAAGGGTCTCTCCTTGAGGGTGGTCATGTCGCAGATGATGATTTCATTGAGCACATCGAGGCCACCACCGCCGAGACCTTGAATGACACGGCCAAGGATGACAACGGACATGCTTTTGGCGACGGCAAAGACAATGGAGCCGATAAAGAAGAGGATAAAGGCTGTATATAGAAGAGGCTTGCGGCCGAGGACATCAGAGGCACTCGTGTAGAGAGGCTGAGTGATGACGACGGATAACATGAAGGATAAGCTAGCCCAAAAGGCAGCGAGCGTCGTACCGCGCAATTGATTGGTGAGAACCTGTTGGGCAGAGCGTTGTTAGTGCAATTCAATTTGTTCTCAAAATCACACACAGGTCAAAGATGCAGATCAAAAGGCACTTACAGGAATGGCGACGGCTAGGGCTGTAGAGTCGATAGATACAATGAGGACCATGACGACGAGGGAAAGAAAGGCAAAGTAGAAGGAGAGCGGTTTCTTTTTGGGCGAGTCTTCGTCCTCTGGCAATTCGGTCACAGAGTTGCGTTTCTCAGTCTCAGGTGAGGGATGATACCCAGGGCTATTATAAGGCATGTCATTGTGAGGCACGTCTTGTATCACGGGTGGCTGCTGCGATTCAGACATTGTGTGTTAACTATTGACAAGTTAAGCTAAGGCAGCAACAAAAACGGTATTTTCAAACAAGCACAAGACAAGCAGGAATCGGTGGATGAGTTTGCTGGGTAGCGCACCTTGCAATATAGCAATCTCTGCCAGAGCTGGGGAAGGAGAGTTGTGCGTGAGTTGGTGTGCAGCAAGCTGTGACTGTACTATACTAGACGCGTAACTAGGTATTTGGATATCTGGATATCTGGTGGAAAAGGGAAAATAAAGAGGCTATGGCTGTGTGCAGAGAAATGCATAGCTAGAAAGTTGGCCCAAAGGGGGAAGGGAGAGGAACTATTTATTACTCTCTAAGTAGGCCTCAATGCATTATAAATCAAACTTAGGGGGGAAGGGGGAGGGATATGTATTACTCTCTAAGAGACGTTAGTACAACTCTTGTCACTGTGTTAAGTAGCAGGGGATGGGATGGCATGTATGTAGGTATGTATGTAAATGTGTGGCATCTAAATGCATTATAAATCAAACTTAGGCACTAACTATAGTGTGAGATATTGACAAGGTCTACCAAATATACCGATTAATTATATAAGGGGGATGTGTAGAAGATATTACTCCGACTACCTTGCTTTCGCAGCTATCTCTAAAGTTCTATATTTCCTTAGGAGTTTCCACAGAAATACTGCTTATTTGATTATCTTGTCAGATTTGGACATGCTGCCTCTGTTGAAGTCTCACCTGAAGTTTTAGACCGAGTTTCTGGATTTTGCAACTCCAAGGATGGACTAACAATGCCCTTGACATGTTGTAATTTTCGCGTACGGTACTACAAGAGAGTGCCACAACTTCAACAATTCTGAATACGAAAATTCAAGTTATGCATATCGTGCTGCAGGAAGGGGAATGGTTTTGATATTAAATTTCTTTATAGTAACTATTAATCAAACATCAATCAACGTCTCTATTGGAACTCATTGAGGTTTACTAGGAAGTGATACGAGTAGATCCAGTATTCATTCAAACAAGGTTGGAACGACGTTGAGTGGATGGACTACAGGCCGGGGTGCTCCTGAGGGCGGAATAATAATACTACCGATTGGCCGATCTTGGCAAAAATCATTCAGAGTCCAAAGTTGAACGTCGACTTGATGAAAATGTGAGAATAGCAGCCAGAATAGTATAAAGAGACAATAAAACAACATTAACCACCATGGTAAGATCGGAAGCTCCTTGAGATATAGCAATTGGAGGTCGTCAGCTAATGTGTATGGCCAGGTCTTCATCTTAGGCACCAGTTTCCCCGAGCGGCAGCTCGTCAGAGCAAGTTCAACCTTCACCCTGCACTCTAATCCAAGCCTTTAATACTAACTGTCCACGCTTTACAGAAAGCTCTCCGCTCCTTTTTTGGGATAGGCGAGCTACGATGCAGCCAGCTGATGGCCCGATTCCACATCCATCCCACCTCGACCGTCGGTGAGCTGGCAACCAGACAGGTCCTGGATTTGACGGGCGCATTGTCAAACATGAAGATAGAAAACGACTTGAAGCGAGAGATTCTCGATAACATCAAGAGATTGAAGAGTACGGGAACCTACAGAGGAAGAAGACATGCTCTCAACCTCCCCGTCAGAGGACAGAACACTAGAAGCCAGGTATGTGATTTGACATTGCGCAGGTCTATCTGGGTAACTACTAACTATCGCCATAGATTAAAAATGCGATTAAATTCAATCGTATTGACAGAAAATTATGATTGCGCTGCAAGATATTTTTTTACTCTCTTTTTCTGTGATGTACTGTATAGGGGGTATTGGGCGGCGTTTAGATATGCATCTGCCATGTAACAGTATTAAATTATATTTCCGCAAATTCCTACTTTTAAGCGATGTGATCGAACCATGGACTATTTGGAAATTCGATTAACCTGCTCTATTAACTTTTTTGCCTTCTTATTCTATTTTATTTTGATACCATGTCCTTCTGGAGTATACCCTCTCCCCGGTTGATTTGGATCGCCTTATCCTCGCCAACACTGGTTATTCCGACAGTCTTATCCCAGCAGACATCAAACACTTTGACGCCATCACCACCCACTCGTTTTCCTTCATCTTCGACTGACTTTCTCGATATAGTGTATATGCTTTCTCCAACTACTCCATCTTTCTCCGTCTTGGTGGACCGTATATCCCATATTCTGCATGTACCGTCATGGCTGCCACTGATAAGCCCGTATTGGCTGTTGGGATCCCGAGCTAATGAAACAACGATATTGGTATGCCCTCTCAATGTCATAGCAGAAACAGTCGTGGCCGAGTCACGAGGATCAATCAAGGTAATATGCCGAGCAGCGGTACCAGCAGCAAGCAGTGTGAGCTGCGGAAGGTGTTCAACGCATAGAAGAGAGTAAGAAGTAGTTCGCGTATCAACAAGAGCAGAAGTGACCAGGTCCCAGGTACGAAGTGAGTGATCCCATGAAGCTGAATACCCAACAGTCGAATCCTTGGCGTCGAATATGGCCGCCGACACGGGTGCCGTATGCGATTCAAACAGCGCCAGTGGTCCCCGCTGGGGCGTACTGACGGAGGACTTGACCTTTCGCCGTTTGGTGCTTCTTGCAGCACTGGAGGGCAATAGATCCGAGGGTGCCTCGGGGCATTCGGATTTCTTTGTAGACCAAAACCCAACGGTGTTATCGGCAGAGGCGGAGAGCATCCTGTTCGATGGGCCGTGGACCGCAATAGAATCAACGCTACCCTTGTGTCCATAGTACTCAATCTGAGGAATGATTGTGGCAGAAAATCCATCTTCACTCTCGTTATACTTCCATAATCGCACAGTTCGGTCAATTCCGCATGACACAATCTGGTTTGGGGAGACCATTCTAGCGCCCTTTATAGATGAGTTGTGTCCGCCATTCCCAGCGGATGGAGAAACAGCGATTGTTTCTCCAGACATATTCCACATCCTTAGCAGCCCATCATAGCTACCGGATAATATCCTCTCTCTTCCTGCCTGTATCTGCTTGCCACTCCATTGTGCAGCGTGAGATGTCCCAGACAAAACGTCAACGGCGCTGACCCAATCGTCGTGCAAAAAGGAAGCGACATGGAGTGGGGGTATGAGAGCTCGAACATATTCGACATCAAGAATTGTTTCAGCAGAGATGCCATTAGCAGTAAGGTATTCGTCTATCGAAGTTCGGAGGTAGCGCCCATTGATCAAAAATTCAAAGGGCACTGGTTTCGGCAATTCAAGCAGGTTATTCACAAGTGTAGATAGGGCATATCGTCGGAGCTCTTTATATGGATAAGAATAATTCAGTCAGCAATTACCATACAATATCTAATTATATTTCACATCACAGGGAAAAACATCTGAGCTATACCTGTAGGAACAAGAATAGGACCAGTCGACTCGGGCAATGTGAGATCAGCATGGCGCGATGTCAGTCGCAACCGGACTTGTCGCTGTACCTGCGAGGACTGTCCCTCGGTAGTTGACGTAGAGTCCATCAGCGTGTCCATGATTGCAAATTTTTATAGATATCCAATTGATCACTGCGGGCTTCCTTTGACAATCAATTGAGCTTTATGCTTTTATCTTTCGATGCTTTTTTTTTTATCGCAAAACTTTTTACGGCTGGCGTGAAGAGCAAAGTGTGCAAATGCTTGGCAAAAACCTACATAGAACAGACTTTGAGAGGAGAACAAGATTTGAATTTCTAAAAGATGCATAATGTAGATTTTAAATGGTAAGAATTTTCAACAGCTATTATGTAGTACTCCGTATCTCTGATATGGCTTTCCGTCTATGCTCGGAGTCGGCGAATAGTGCCTTGATCAGATCAATGAGCTCGTCGGGGGAGAATTCTAGCTTTAGTTCACCCTCTGTCCACAGATATTTGATATCTGCTAAGGAGCTCTCTAATATGTTGACGAGGTACTGGAACTTAAGCCAGTTCGGGACGTAAATCGCTGTCATGGCGATAGGCTCATCGCCAGCCCCTGTGCTTTCCTCAGGTGTTTCTGGTAGGAATAGATCTTCAAGCTTTGAAACCGAGCTGCAGAATCCGGCCAGACGCTGCGATTCCGGATCTGAAATATCTCCAAGGTCTTCAATGTCTAAGATGATCTTGTTTATCCCTGTTGAGAGTAGAGAGCCAATCGACTGCAGTAGCACAGAGTGGGAGAGTATGGACTTCCACTCGTTGTGTACGCTTCGGACTCTGTCGACCGTTGACTTAATTGCTCTCTCGCATTCTCCGAGGTAAGGCTGGGTATTGCAACTTGAGAATCCCTGACACCCATCAAGAAGATCTGTTAGTATTGTTCGTTGGGAATGCATCTCCCTTCCGTATGATAGACGTCCAAATTTCTCGATAGAGTCTATGTCGCCCGCCAATCTTGAAAATCTGTGCTCTTCGGAGAAAGCCCGGAGCCTCTCAGCTAAGTAGATACTGTCGTTGTAGAGATACATGTGGCTGGAGGCTGATTTTTGGGAATAGAAAATAGGCGCCATAGCTTTAAACATGGCAACCACTAAAGTGGGTATTCCAAGGAGAGCCGCAGCAGACGGGGAAAGCTGAGATGATGAGTATCTGCAGAATCGTTAGATAAGCTTGAAAAAGGCTTCAGTCACTTATGAATGGGCTTACTCAGGTTGTTTAAGGTGTTCAGAGTCAGAGACCTGGTCTCCAATGACTTCGACAATGGCGTCTGGTACTTTGGTAACGGTATAAAATTCCCGGAGGATAACCTCTTTTGAGACTGACGCAGGCTTATTTTCTTCCTTCTTCTTTTGTGTGTTGTTGGCCGACTTTGATGGCTTTTCCTCGGGAAGTTTGTCATTTGCGTCGTCTTCACCCCATCCCCAGGCGTCGTCTATATCGTCGTCGCCCTCTTCTCCGTTTTTTACACCTGTGTCTTCTTGGGGCCCAGCCTTATCTTCATCATCATCATCATCATCATCATCATCTAGTCCCCAAGCGCTTACGTCTTCATCCTCGTTGTTAGTTACTCCGGTTTCGGCGGTGTGCCTATCCCCTTCTTCATTATCGTCCTCCCAGTTGGCGTTCCAATCATCTTCCACTTCCGTTTCTGCACTGTTTCCCTGGAATACACAATCGGACTGTGAAATTTGCTGCTTTTCCACCCGTTCGGCCTTCTTATATTCTCCAGAATCACGGTAAACAATTGATCGGACTCGGTCTAGGGCATGGGCACGTCGGCGTGATAACCACAGTCGAGGGATCTGATTTCTCCAAGATCTTAGCTCTGGTGGTTCGTGCCATCCAAGCTCAGCCAGGGAACTAGAGAAATGCGGTACTTCATCTAAGGTATGCTCAAAGGCATTCATGTCCTCAACAGCTACGGGTATAGCCGGTGACATCCACTCCGAAATTAGGAGGTGACAAGCAGAAGTAGAGAGAGTGGTGGAGACCAGCTCTAGGACCTTTGCAGGAAGATGATTCTGGATGAACTTAAATATGGATAGAACTGAGTCCATAACGTCCAGTATTGTAGGCTTTGCAACTTGGCTCTTCAGCTGGATATAGTTCTCGCCAGAAGTGAGGAGGTTAAATGGGCCGGCCCTAGGAGGAGACAGAACACGCCGTAGAACATGACTCAAAAGCTCGTCCTGAAAAGAAACAAGGGTAGGTTCCAAAATCCTAAGATTTGCAAGCCAGGTCAAATGCTTGTCTAATACGGATACATCTATGAAAGGTCAACAAGCGATACCAGCGTTAAAATATAATAGGATCATCCTACCTTTGGTTTTGATAGTAAGTATCCCTGCTTTGTCAATATGGACTAGGTCACTCCATGAACGTTGTAATGTAGCACATAGAGAGCCTCGAACGGCGGAGGCTTTGTCCGCTAGTATGGTAATAATGGTTGAGTCTCGGGGCAGAGCCAACTGATCCAAGTCCTGGTTAACCTTATCGAGTTTCTGAATTGCCGCTTCCAGATCATTATCGTTACAGGAGACCTGGGCGGCGTCTATGTTTCTATCGATAACGCGTGCGTTTTCGAGGGTTTCCCTTAAAGACTGTGTAAATGCAGTTTCTCGCTTTAAAAGGCTGACTTTGGCAGCTGTGTCCTCAACTTTGTTCTGTATAGCTTGTGTTTTCTCGTAATTCTTGACGATCTCCCTCGCTGTGAGTTTTGACCGTTCTATATCCTCATGAAGTTGCTTTGCCTGTGATATCCACTCGTCAACGTCTGAAGCCTTGTCCTGGCTCAGAGCACTGATTTCTTTCTGCATAATAGGCATTGTCAGCTATGTGCGGCTAAGCTGTAATCTTATTGCCCAAGATGCCCCATACCTCGACCTTCTGCCTCGCCTCAGATATCTGTTCAAGTCCGGTGGAGAGGGTTGCCACGGGGTACTCTGCCTCGGTGATGGATTCTGATTCAGGGAATGTGCCATCGGTAACAAATCTGAGTAGTGCTCGGTGCACTTTATCTGCGGAAACGGTTGCTGGCATGGTGGTGGCAGCTTCAGTATTGTAACGTTGCGACACCTGTTCAGGTTGTTAGTTGGCGTTTGGATGTAGTTAAGGGAGAGCGAACTATCTTACCACACAAACTAGATTAAAGGGTGGCACCTAAATAGCTCCTAGGTCGCTATTCCCTGCGATGCCCTGGGTTGCCTGTGGTTCTTAAATGTTGATTGGCGTCCATAAATAATTCCAAAGGGTTAACTGCTTGTGATGCGAGGATGGCCTTTTGGCCGAAGCGCCAAGAAATGCGGGATGAACAATAATTTTTGTTACTTCAAAGTAAAACTTCTGAACGTCAGCTACCTCAACAACTTGCTAACTACAACAGAGACTCCATCCAATAGAGAGCAGTTAGAAAGGTCTTTATCAAATACACCTGCCTCCACGCAGGCGCCTAGGGGTTATTTTGAGGACCAATTCTGTACAGAGGGAGCACTGGTTGAATTAGTTACTTGGGCTAGTTATACTAGGTAAGAGAACTATCAGCATGCGATATTGGCCGATTTGCATGTTAACACACTACCGTGTTCTTAATGCCTGACATGTATCAACTATGCCTTCTGCTATTCTTTCATACAAGGTCATGTAATGTCCAGGGAGCTGTGGGTAGATGGCTGGGCCATTACCGCATGGCGGGAGCGATTTTCATCCCCACGTGTTTGAGTTTTATGCGTACAAGTATATCAGAGAGTACCTAATCTTGTCGTATGGCTAACGCAAAGACACAGGTAATTGCCTTGCCTAGATGCATATGATTGCCGACATGGAGCCAAGGTCTTCGTTTCGGATCGTCAATCAATTCACCCCAGATTACTCTGATTCACTTTTCACGCAATATGAATCCAAAAGGACTGGAATGAGAGTTATCACTATAGACCGAAAGGGACCAAGGGTTCAAGGGTCCTTTGTGCTCGCTACTGAAATCCACGATGACTCTGGCGCACCCCATACGCTAGAGCATTTGTGCTTTATGGGTTCAAAAAATCATGAGGTCAAAGGAATGCTTCACAAGCTTGCAACTCGGTTGTACTCAGAAATAAATGCATGGACATCGGTCGATCATACCGTTTATACCCTTGAATCTGCCGGATGGGAAGCGTTTGCTCAAATATTACCAGTATACCTAGAGCATATCATTGCCCCTACGTTGAGTGACTCTAGCTGCTACACAGAGGTATACCATGTTGATGGTACTGGCAATGATGCAGGGGTTGTGTATTCCGAGATGCAATCATATCGGAATGACTTCTATTCTCGTGCTGATCTTTGTGGCCGTAGATTCCTCTATCCTACCGGCGTGGGCTTTAGGTATGAAACTGGAGGAATGACGGAGAATCTCAGGGTGCTTACAGCAGATCGGATACGGGAATTCCATCGGGAAATGTACCAACCAAAAAATTTATGTCTTATTTTAACAGGCGAGATTGACCACGAGAATCTCTGTGCCATACTCTATAAGCTGGAAGACGCGATAATGGATGTCATTCCAAGTCCGTCTGCACCTTTTAAACGGCCTTGGATCGACTCCCTTCAAGCTACTCCTCTTCAAAAATCGGTTGTTGAGAAAGTTGAATTCCCAGAGGAGGATGAGTCGTCTGGAATGGTTCAGATCCGTTTCCTTGGGCCCAATGTCAAGGATCGTGTTCAGAGTAAGTATCAAAATAGTCTAAGATTATGTTGATGGTTCTAACTCGTGGAAAAGTGAGCGCGTTAAATGTTATCCTGCTTTACCTTGCAGGCTCATCTGCTTCTCTTTTGGTGCATGCCCTTGTTGAAGAGGAGCAGATTGCGTCCGCTGTATCATACGATACAGAGGAGAGGCCACACACGGAGATTACCTTCACTCTGTCCAGTGTCGCCACAGAAGAACTGGAGGCCGTCGAACGTCGGTTCTTTGAGGTCCTTAATAATGCCATGGAAATGGAGATTGACCTGGAATACATGCGCCACTGTATCCGGCTTCACCAACGGACGTGGAAGTTCGCAACGGAAACATCAACCGCCTCATTTACTGAAGCCGTGATAACAGACTTCCTCTTTGGAGAACGGGATGGCTCAACATTAGAATCTCTTGAAGATTTGGAAGAATACGAGGTTCTAGAGACATGGACTGATTTGGAGTGGCGAGATTATATCAGGAAATGGATTTCTAATGCACACCATGTTTCCATTCTAGCCGTGCCTTCAGAAAAAATGGCCACAAATCTTATGGAGGATGAACATAGACGTATCGAGGAGCGAAAGGCAAAACTGGGGCCAGAGGGACTAGAGAAACTTGCGGAAGCTCTGGAGAAGGCTAAAAGGGATAATGAGGAAGAAGAGCCAACAAATCTCATATCAGGGTTTACCATCCCAGTTGCCGATTCAGTTCATTTCATTCAAACTATCACAGCAAAAGCGGGTCCTGCTTTGGAATCGAAACGCAATGATAATGATACCCAGAAATTGATAGATTTAGATGGGTCTGATATACCTTTATTCATCCACTTTGAGGCCATACCTAGCAACTTTGTGCAGCTGGTACTGATGATCTCAACGGAGGATGTACCTCATCATTTGCTGCCTTTACTGCCGTTATACACTGAATCTTTTTTTAGCCTGCCAATCAGAAAGGGGAGTGACATCTTATCTTTCAAGCAGGTTATTGTCGATTTAGAGAAAGATACAGTAAGCTACGGGATGTATCCAACTCACAACCACCCCGAATCTCTTTCTATTGTTTTCCATGTGGAGGCCGACAGATATCAAGCTGCTATATCCTGGTTGAAGGATCTAACATGGAACTCAATCTTTGCAGTTGAAAGGTTGACGGCCGTCACATCTAAACTACTTGCAGACGTCCCGGAAGAAAAGAGAGACGGGGAAAGTATGGTGGAAGCTATTGGGATAATGACACAATTGGGAGAGAAGTCTATATCTAGAGCACACACCGCACTTGTGAAAGCTCGATATCTAAAGCGTGTCAAAACATTGTTGGCTATTCAACCAGACGAAATTGTCCGACAAATGGAGGAAGTTCGCAAAGCACTTTTCTGTCTTGATAATTTCAGAGTGCTAGTTACTGCCGATCCAAAAAAACTCACTGGCCCCGTCGCTTCGTGGAACACATTTATCGCTGACTTGGATACCTCGAAGGAGCTCAAGCCTGTAGTCAAGGTGGCGCAGCGATTAAGTGATGCAGGTAGACACCCAGGCACCCATGCTTATGTTGTTCCAATGAAGTCGATGGATTCTTCATACGCCGAATCTAGTTCAAAAGGCATTTGCTCTCATGATAACCCAAAACTACCTGCACTGATGGTTGCCATTGCCTACTTGAACAATGAAGACGGACCACTTTGGAACGCCCTTCGAGGATCAGGGCTAGCCTATTTTTTCTATTTGCGGAGCAGTATTGACAGTGGACTGGTACATCTTATGATTCACCAGTCCCCTAATGTTCACAAAGCCTTCGAAGCTGCAAAAGCAACCATTGAGTGCCACCTCTCCGGTTCAATAGAAGGTTGACTCCACGAAAGTTCTAGAATGGGCGGTTAGCACTTTGATTAACCGATTCTCTGCTGA